GAGAGCAGATGCTGTTTACCATTGACTTCTTGTGCTGGATTAGCAAAGAACACAGGAAACTCCTTATTCCTTTCCCATGGTGGCCACAGAGTACCACAGTCGGGGATGATGAGGAGGTGGCGTGTAAATGTGATTGAATCAGTGCAGCTCTTCCCAGCTCCAGCAGGATCCCACCAGCTGTGTGTACATCCATTGCTAATGAGGACCCAAGCAGTGGGCCTGTAGAACAAGGCATTTGGTGCTGAGGAGCTGGTGCCTGCATTATACACATTTCTGGGCTTTTTGTTATCACTGGCTACCTCCAGTCTCATTCCATGAAGTGAAGACCCACTTATGCTTACCTGGTCTGATCCTGCTCTGAACTAAACACCCACATGAACGTGGCCTCTCAGCTAGATCGCATAGGTGTAACCAAAGTGTTCCAAAAAGCTTTATCCATGGACAGGCTCCCCTTTCTTTCAGACTCTTTCTGTTAATAAAGCAGCTAATAGTTCCCGTCTCTCAGTGGCAGGCAAGAGGTTGATTGTACCGCACTTGGAAAGTTCAAAAGCACTGCAGAGTGCATGCTAAATATAATTAGGATTTTACAGCTAAATGTATTACATTTTTTTTTATTTATTAATGATGTTAATCAATATTAACCTGCTGTCCACTAGGGTATTATTATAGCATCAGAATGCACAACCCACTGCCTCCATCAGTACTTAAAATGTGATTATGTTGAGGCTAAGAAAATTAGATAGTGCAGTAGATAGACCTCATGGTTTTTTCTTCCAAAACAAAGAGGTATCAATGGGCCTGTTCATTATTTTGGGTTATAATTTGCTACTGATGCTTAAGAAAAAATACACATTTGAATTTCAGCCCCATTAACTTATGTGCGTGCATACAAGCTTGTGTGCATTTGTATGATAATAACATTTGTAATAATGTCAAATAATATTACATATTTAAAAAAACCCCAAACATTGTCTCAGAGGAATTATTAACTTCAGAATACAGCACATCTTTTTGGCTTCCAGTCCTGTTTTTCCCCTGGTAATTATGTTGAATAATATATGATTTTTTATTGCAAACTGTGCAGTAGGGATTACAAGATACACCGCACATCTAAGTTAACGTGGCTGTCAGAACCTTAACTATTATATTCCCTTTTGAGTTTTACTTCTTACTTTTAATTGAGCAACATTTAATGTTACATTAAAATTGATTTGTGCAGGTCTTAATCTTTCTTTCATAAGTTAGGGTAGTGAGGCACTGGAATAGGTTGTCCAGGGAGGTTGTGAATGCTTCATCCCTGGCGGTGTTCAAGGCTAGGTTGGACAAGGCCTTGGGTAATATGGTTTAGAGCTAGGTGTCCCTGCCCATGGCAGGGGGGTTGGAACTTGATGATCTTAAGGTCCTTTCCAACCCTAACTATTCTATGATTCTATGTATTCAGATGTAAAGAATCAATTTTTTATTATTTTATTGTTACATAAAGTGTCCATGGATAGGTCAATTGAACAATGCCCTCTTGATTAAAAGAAATAGAAATCACATCACAGTATGAACTTCTGTCTATCTGGGTTCATGAAGTTCAATATTGATTAATCTTTCAGCTATATTCCTTTATATATATGTACAGTTTTATATGTATTAATATATACATATACACATAAATATGTATGTATATCATAACATGTACATACTCATGTGAATGCAATCATGTATGTAAGTAAATTCCTCAGTCCAAACACCGATCAACAGGCAGTCTTTCTCTCTGGTTATTAACAATCCAGTTAAGCCAGTTATTGCTATTACATATCGGTTTTATAAGCTTAAAGAAGGCTATGTTTAAAGGAAAAAATATTCAGACAGTGATGTAATCACAAATTATGGTCAAAGCTTGTTAGATCAAAATTTGATCTGATGTTTCCTCTCCACCATTTCTTTCTTCTCTCTCCTGTGGACAGATCATACAGGAAAAGATGCTCAGAGGGCTGGAGCCCTCTCCTCTATGAAGAGAGGGTGAGAGAGCTGGGCTTGTTCAGTCTGGAGAGGAGAAGGTTCACGGGAGACCTTAGGGCAGCCTTCCAGTACCTAAAGGGGGCCTACAAGGAATCTGGAGAGGGACTTTTTACAAGGACATGTAGTGACAGGACAAGGACAACTGATAAAGGGTAGATTTCGATTAGATATTAGGGAGAAATTCTTTACTGTGAGGGTAGTGAAGCACTGGAGCAGGTTGACCAGAGAAGCTGTGAATGCTCCATCCCTGGAAGTGTTCAAGGCCAAATTGGATGGGGCTTTGAGCAACCTGGTCTAATGGAAGGTGTCTAATGAAAGGGGGTTGGAACTAGATGATCTTAAGGTCCTTTCCAACCCTAACTATTCTATGATTCTGTGATTCTATGAAAAAGAGCAAAAAACTGTAGGAAAAAAAAAAACCTTTGAAGCTATTACTACTTTTCGATTTCAAGTGCTTGAATTTCACAACTAAACTCAGTCTCTTTAAGCAGAAGTTTTTCTAATGATGTTTCTAAGATCTAAAGATGAAGAATAAAGAATAAAACCTTCTGCTTTACTTAGTGGCAGCATTTCCCCTCATTATTCATTATCACAAGGTTTAGGCTCTGTGTTTCCGTCATTGCAGCATGGAGTAATTTTAGCACAGACCAGAGCCTATTGGTGTCCCAGGGGATAGCAGAAGCGGCAGGGCTGAGCTCTGTGCCTGGCTAGGCTCAGCTCCCATCACCCTCTCTTCTGCTGCTGCCCCAGCACCAACCAAGCTGCCTCACAAGAGGGCTGTTGGCTGTTGTTGAGGCTTTCTGTGTGATGGGAATCTAGTCAACATGAAATCATCATGATCGTGTTTTAAACAAGACTGGAAATGGTCAAAGCAGGACTGCATTTTACACATACGGCTAGTCCTCAGTGGGAGGATAGCTTGTCAGGGTCAAGGGATTGCTTGACATGACTATGCCAACTCTAGCTCTCAGGAAGTTAGAAATTCACATCTGTGACTTGCCTTGGGGGATGGATGTACTCGGGGTCATTGTGGTCTGGTGATGCCGTCTGAAAGCTGAGAGCTTTTTATTCTTAAAACGTTATTCACAGTGTGCAGTTTCATGTTGATTTGGTGAGTGCCTTGGTAGCTTCTGAATCCTAGGCCAGGTTGTGAAATATATGTGTATATTGGCCATATGTCAGCATATATGCATATATATGCATACATGTATGTATATCAGGAGCTGCTTGCTGTCAGATTTGTCACAGATCTTTAGGCACAGGTGGGATTCAAACTGTTCTAACCAAGAATCTGCTCAGACTGAAGCAACCGTGTTAACAGGACCTATTTGTGTCAGGTCTCAGCCTTTGCACATACAACGTGAAAAAACAGTGAGTTTAAACTCCCCTGAGTTTATCTAAAATATGGAAATTTTGTCATAATTATGGGGAGATACATCTTGGTCGACTGTTTTGACTCAGCCAATAAACAGTAACTAAATAGTCTGTTTGGAGAGGTTTGGAATAAAACTCTTGGGAGTTTGTTTTGGAAACACTGACACATGTAGTTCCTAAAGCACTGTATGTTCCCTGGAACCGGGGTGCTCCTGACTGAAGACTGGCATTCTTCTTGATTACACAACAGTTGAAGAACAACCTTTACAGTCTGCACGTAAGGGGTTTCTGACACCATAATCACATTCCCATGTACTGTCCTGTGGATCAGACATCCCAGAGTTCTTGGGAACTGACATCCCTCATGAAGTTTGGCCTGCACTGATGGGGAAATTCCAGGAATACAACATCTGGGAATCTTTTCCATGTCCCCAGAAGCACAGCATTTTCAAGAGATTACTCTCGGTCATTTCACCTGGCCTGATCCTGCCTTGGGCCACCCTGCATGCCCAGCCATCTGGAAGCCAAGGCTTGTCTGCCATTCTGTATGGGAGTCTTGCCAGTTTTGGAGATCTTGCCATCTATAATGCAATGCAGTCATTTCAGCTATTTGATACCTAACAATTTCAGCGTCAGTGCCCTCATTAACACCATGGATAGACTTGGCCAAGTACCTGAGAGTTCAGTGCTCATTATATAACATGACAATTCTGATGACCTGAAAGGAGGACTTGTGTCATGCAATAGTACTCTAAGAAACTACGAAATCATTACTTGTGCATTCAGGTTCCCCTGTTATCAATGTGTCTGTGTCATTTCACAAGTGAGGTAACACATTAAGATGTTATTAGTGGATATGACAATCTCACTTTCCTCTGGGGACTAGATAATGGTTTATGGATATATTAACCCTTTTGATTTGGTGTCTGTTATAACATGATGGGTGTGTGGCATACAACGATGTTGTTTGCTTGCTGAGATGTTTTGTATAAAAAGAGAAATAAACCCACATAGAATGTGTCCATTTTGAGAGTTCATCTCCAGCCTGGCCATGTTTTTTGTTTTTGGGGCAATGGTGGGCTTGGGGATTAATAATTGCAGAGATGCTAATGCTTCTGGCAGATGACCGAGACCGGTCAGGTAAGAACATATCTTGTAGACTATCTAACACTGTATCTATGATGGCATACAAATTACTTGACAGATACATTATTTGGTGAAGGTGCTGAATCCCAATGCTCCTCCCATTGCCAAAAGCTAATATACTATTTTTAAATAACAAAATCAGGTCAAAGTTCTGTTGATTTTATGTCATGCAGAGACCTGCCAAACTACTGCATATATTTTTTTTCCTCCATTCTGCTCCATGCTACTTTTGTTGAGATTGACATGTTGACATGGTTTAGGGGTGGACATGGCAGTCCTGGCATAATGGTTGGACTTGATGATCTTAAAGGTCTTTTCTAACCTAGTTGATTCTATGATTTCAGGCTTCTTGTTATATGAGTTCACTGTGTATTAAATTTCTCTGTTCACTGGAATACTGTGTAACAAGAAGAAGGTAATGAACTGGTAACTAAAAGTCTTCACATTAGGCTATGTTACTTGCCTTCCAGGTGGATTTTGATGGTAAGCCTGACTCCTTGTTCTTCAGTGATGGGCAACGAAGAATTGACTTTGTTTTGGTGTATGAAGATGAAAGTAGAAAAATGACTCATAAGAGGAGTGATCGTAAAAAGCAAAAGGTAAGTTATTTTCTGTATAAACCTAACTAATTTGTTGGGTGTTAGAGCAGAAAGGACAGTGCCCTCACCCAGAATAGTGATTGCATTGCCATGTCTTTGAAGTACTCTTGGGAGCTGGGAGACTGAAGCCCATCAAACTGAGCAGGGAACAGGAGTGAGCTCAAGCCAGTAGGTTGCTAGGTAAACAGGCAGAGTGCTGCACACTGTGTCTGTCAGAGTGTGTATGTGACCTCAGAGCACCCTCCTGAGTGAACCTTTAGGAGATGTGATCAGCAAAATGCTGGTATCAGGTTCCTAGTTAGAATTGGACACAAGATAGTCAGTCTAGGGCAGCTTTCTGTACCCACAGTGATTGAATTAGGCCTTTAATCAACTTCAGTATTAAAATCACGGTATTCAGAGAATCCAGAGAAGGAGGCAACTGATCAGATGCTCCAAATCATAGTTATGAACATAGCTGCTGGCATTCTACCCAATAAAGTACCTAAGTAATTTATGGGAAATAATTGTACGCCATTTTGCCACCAGAATTTCTCCCTGTATCACGCCTTCCCTTGAAACTTCAACAGCTTACCCTTCCTGGGAACCTTGCAAAAGATTTCTGACTCACAGCAGTGCCTACTGTGTTCAAGACGAAGTTGGACGGAGTCTTGGGTGACATGGTTTAGAGCAAGGTGTCCCTGCCCATGGCAGGGGGTTGGAACTTGATGATCTTAAGGTCCATTCCAACCCTAACTATTCTATGATTTTATGATTCTACTTGGTGCTTCTTAGCAACCATGAACAACAATCATAAGTTATTTTTATCTTTTATTTTTAATTATTCCAGTGGACTATATTCATTATGTTACCAGGTCCACAAAAAACAAGCTCATCCATGCCACTGAGATGTCTTAATTTTGAACTGCCTAAGAAATATCCATCCACAGGTTTGTAGTCCCTTTGACATCTGCACTCTCCCACCCACCTGCTTCCTTCTCTGATACAGCAACTCTAAATGTGCAGCAGCAGCCTCTGGTAGAGGCGGTGAGGGCAATGGTATCACTGAAAGCATCTCATATACAAATAGTCATTTGCAGTTCAGAAAGAGAAAAATAGGAGTAAAAAGGCCTTTAGCTAAGTTGGTTGATATTCATTACACAGTGTTGTCATTGGCAATAACAGGGCAGCCATAAGGAATGTTGTTAGTAGGGCTTAAAAGAGTCCTGCAGTGAGTGGATGTTGCATTATCCCTGATCACAAGATCAGCAATAAAAAATAATTGAAAGACGTAATTAGAAACAAAAAGCTGCCCCTTTGGTAACAATTGGTTTTATCAATTAGCATTTGACATTTATGTTTATAATATTTGGCCATTGCCCAAATGTACTTAAAAATATAATGAGTGACTTTTCCAAGCAGTGATAAAAATTAAGTGGGAGCAATAGAGTAGTATTTTTAGTGCAGCATTAATGTTAGGAAATCATGAGTAATTAGACCTGGAGATTGTGGGTAATGCACTAGATGCTTGCAAAAAAAAAATAAAGCTTGCTTCCATAGGTCTCAATCCTACAAAGATGTGCAGCCACACTGAATCTGTGGCGTGCTGAGGAAGCAGTCTACCTATATGCAAAAATGTGAGAATGAGAGTATATGTAAGAATGAGAGTGTATTAGACTAATGATACGATACGGTGAAGACTGAGTGGCTGGGGAGCAGCTCTGTGAAAGAGGCCCTCATGGTCTTGAAGGACATCAAGGAGCAAAGTGGACAACAAAAGCTGTATAGACAGAAGCACAGCCAGGAGATCGAGACACGTGACTGGGGTGATACAGACTCCAAATGTGCTTTAGTCATCCCAAAGTCAGAAAGGTCCTTCATCTCGCTTGAGATTACTTGCTGTGCAGGTGGAGGAAGCTATCTGTGCTGCAGATCTTCACTTCCTAAGCAAATGCTGTACAGGCAGCACTGATATTTTTCTTCCTGTATGTCCTCCTGAGTGGGATGCAGGACATTGCTCTAAGACCTACCTCACACCCACCCTAGGAGTGAAAGGACAGGAACTGAGAAGTACCAAAGAAATAAATATGAATAGAATATTTGAAAAGAAGGAACGAAATACATATACCTTATGTCTGAGATGGAAAGGAAGAGGACATTTGTGGTACAGTTTTGCATTCTTGGAATTCCATGGAAAGGAATATTTTGGCCTAGCACAGTTCCCAGAGTGGCGTGGGGATAATGTTGCCCAAGATAGATACCGATTTTATCAGTCTTGGCATAAAACCAATTTCATAGCTTATCTTTACTGACATTGGCGTTTATTTTTGTATTTTTTTTCTGGGACAAATGACTTCTACCCTTGTGATCAAATACAATCAAAATGAGCAGTATTCCCATTTACTATCAGCTTGAAATCCTGCAAACATCACTGTCTGTCTCTGACCAATGATGAACTGAAAATGCCAAATTTTATAAGCACTATCTTGTGTAATTCAAGGTGCTTTAAGCAAAATTGGTTCTTCATTCATGCTACTCTTTCTTTGACACCCCTGGCATTTTTATAGAGCTATTATCCAGAGCATTATGGTTCACAGAATTTGGAAGCTCCAGGTTATTATTAATAGCAGATCCAGATCTGTTCTCATAGGGTGAAATCCTCACCTCATTGAGGTCAGCAGCAATGTCTCCGCTGGCCATGTGCAATGCTGCAGGTCTGTGAAATGTAGGGATCAGCAGTGTAGTCACTGGGCAAATTCTTTCTGACTCACACTGCACCCCACCTGGTTGCATGACATGGAAGTTGGGGCAGAACTTGAATTGTTAGTGGACAACAACAGATCTATGTTTCTGATATGAAAAGTTCTGTGTTCTGGACTAAGTGGTTTTGTGTGGTACCAAGAGTGAAGGAGTTCCCAGATGCTTACTGAATTCAGTCAGAAGGATTTTAAATTTCTATGATTCAAAAATCAGACCTCAGCTAAGTTATCCAATGTAACTGGATTCAGAGAAACAGGGCACAGATACATCTATTCTTCTGCAGTAAGAGAAGAATCGAGTCCTGGGACCATCATTGCATTTGATTTGAATGGCTTTCTTTTTCAGAAGAATTTCATAAGTGTAACTGAGAAAATGACCCAGCATTAATTGATACTAATTATCAGTATTCTTGGGAAAATGTCTGCTTACAGAAGGAATTAACTGAAAACATAGGTTTGATTTGGATAGAAGGATCAAAAATATGGAATTTTGAAGCTCTTACAGATGCAGTGGTGCTGTGCTTCCCTCTTTTTCATGTTTCCAAAATCTGTTTTAAAGGAGGCAAAATCAGATTAAAAAAAAGGCATCTTCATGGAAGTTTCTAACATAATATATAAATCCAGATGTTTGCAGATACAGTTCACATGTACAACTTAATTCAAATTCCAAACCTTTGTAAGTTGGTGTGCAATTAATTTTGCAAGCAGTAGCAAAAATCGAACTGTCAGAAGCATATTCCAGAAACTGCATTGCAAGCAATTAGAATTCCTACTCAAAGTATGGTTTTTAAACCTACAATTTATGTACCCTATTTGTCAGGGTAGGTTACCATCAGAGCAGAAATTAAATGTAGCCAGTCTTCCCAGGAATGCTCCAAAATGACAGTTTTATCTGTTGGGGTCTGCAAGGAGCTCATTGTTGAAAGTTAAAGCGTCAGTGCCAGAAAGACGAGTTCAAAGTAAACCAATGCAAAATGTCATTCTAGTCCATCTGCTTCCCCCCAACAGAAACAATCAGAAAGACCGTCAGTAAATTAATTAGGAATATGGGCAAAACCTTCATTTCCGGGCATGAAATAATCTGTGCTTCACAAAAATAGATTTTAATTTTTGTTTCAAATTAAATGAAAACTATAATTCACAGAAAATATTACACACTTTTAAGTACTATTTTACAGAGATCCTCAGCAGGGTTAGAGGAGTTTGTCTTCATAAGCAAACAATGAACAGTTCCTGCTTGCAGACTTGTTTAGTTTAGATAACCAGCAACAAAAAACTTGGATAACTTTTCAAAAGCTAATTGTACTTTTCCCAGTGTCTAGCATGTGTCATACCTGTGGTGAGAGAACGATACTTGCATTTACAGAGAAGAAGGGTACCCCAGTGTCATTTTATGTGGTGATTTTAAGCAGTAGAGGATGGCAGGCTTTACATGCCTGTGGTATGCTCAGTCAGCCTACCCAGGAAGTCTGATAACAATCAAGAAAAGGACCTTTAGCACTGGGTGGAGGGGAATCACACCTACCCTGGTGTCTACTGGTTGGACTGGTTTTGAAGCAGGAGCTCTCTGAAATAAAATCTCTGTTCCTGAGGCAACCCCAAATCTGAATTTTACTTCTTTGACAATTGGATAAAAGGGAGAATGACAGAAGTCAAATGGAAGGAGGGAGTTACTCTGAAGTTACTGCATTCATCCATAGACCAGAAATGGTCTTTCCAAACAGGGTGACTAGAAGCCACTGTTGAGAGCAGGGCTAGACTACAGTATTGCCAGTGCTGTGTGGTCATGAATCAGGTTTCAGAAAATCATGAGGCTGATTAAAATCAGAGGGTATCTCAGAAAATATGTATTTTGAGTTCCTTGCGTTTACGTTTTTTGTATTGGCCTTTATAGCATATTTTGCTTCACATTTTTTGTTACCTTCAAACTTAAGAAGCTTACAGAAGCAGAGCTTCTCAAGCAATTAATTTCCTAATGTTGACAGCTGGGACTTTCAGGAGAGCTTTCAAAGACCTTCAAAGAAACCATTAGACTTGGTAGCTAATGTTGATACAGCGATCCTTTCCACTCCCTTTAGTTGATAGCCATGAGACTGGCTTCGGGCCCCATGCTCTTTCTCTTCTTGCCTGTGATTTATCTGTTGCCTGTCAGGTAATGCAGAGGTGGATATTCAAGCACTCTTTCCTTGTTAGGAGTTTTCTTCTGAAGTCACACAGATACTGTTGTAGGGAACTTTTCTGTTTGTGCAAAAAAAACTAAAGACATGAGTGGGCATCCTCCTGTCGCTTCTGTCAATCACAGCAAGTGCTCTCTACCATTTAAGCAACACAGAGAAAAGAACTGCTAGTGGTCTGCTACCAGTGTCCAGATTCACAGTCTTGTTAGTCTCCTCAGGGGGGGAAGACACGAGACTTTGAAAGCACAATGGTGAAAAAGCAGCTCGCAAGAGCTAACCCTCCTACATGCCTATAAAACTTGGAATTTACTTACAATATGCTTTCACTTCTTCAAAATGGTGTGTACATATGCATCTTGTAGTATCTTTGCCGACTGGCTAGCCATTCAGTCATCAAAATCTGTCAGGTTGGGATCAGCAGCATTACCACGATCACATTATCATTACAGCTTAGCCTTGCTGGTTGCTGAGCAAAATGCCAGATACTGAAATAAAGCTGGGACAGTCTCTACCTTCCAGCCTAATATGCTATCATATCTTTATGCTGTATTCCCCAGTCAATGCAAAACCACTATAGACTCCTCTGGGTAAAAGTCTAGCTCCTCCATAGATCATCATACACATAATTCAATCATTTATATAAAATAGCAAAGCCCCTAATTAGCAAAGCCTCCCAGGGGCTTTGTTCCCCAGTACTTACATTAATGCATTATTAGAAACCTTAATATTGTCAACATTCCTCTAAGATTTTGAGGGAAAATTAATTTGGGTAACGCCTTGCCATAATAAATTATTAAAGCAATTTGAATTATAAGATTAAAAAAAAATCAGTATTAGACTTCTGTAAATGAGAATTGCCCTGCTTTGTGCTATCTAAGAAGAAACGAAGCAGGTACTTAGCCCTCTGCCTTTTTTTTATTTGCTGAAACAAAGGAGAGCTTAAGTTGAATTATTTTCATGGTTCGGTATTATTCACCTTACAAAAAAATCATATGAATATGGAAGAAGCAAAGAGGTAGGATGAAAAGGCAGAAGAGTTAATAGTGGTGTAGACAAAATTCCTGTCTTGTTCACTACATATATTAATGATCTGGTAAGGGGATTGAGTTATAACAAAAATTGCAGAGGAAATCAATACATAGTTTATTCAGAAGCTAAGACAACTGTGAACCTTTGTCTTTGAAGGAAAATTGAGAGCACTATTACCTATGAAACTTGAAAAATGAAAGGCAATGTGTTACTGCAAGGAAAAAACTCATTAACATTTGGGATTCTAAGTTAGCGCTGTTAGTACAAGGAAGAGACTTAGATGTTACAGGAAACAGCTATATTATGTCCTCTTCAAGCTCAGCTACCATGAGGATTCTAGACAGTAGAAAGTATTAGGTGTATATAATATAAGTGTGCATATTACACATATATATATACACAATGTTATATACATGATGAAAAAATATGAAGAGCATGATACTGTCACCAATAGCAAGTGGATTAATGGGACATGGAGAGACACCTCTATGAAGACCCCAGTCAAAGTTTGGGATTGTGGTTTTATCTTGGCAAAATAGAGGAATAAGGAGAAATGCAGAAAGTACTGATGAAAGAAGAAAACAGATTGGAAGATTTGTCTCTTCCTGTCCTGAACTCAAGAAGAAGGTGATATTCACTGGAGCAAAAAGGCAGAAAGCCTGAAACAGATTTGAAAAGTACCTTTTAACAAAATATGAAATTAGTCCTTCATGACCATTGCCACATGCAGGTGCTGCAGTTGAGAACTAAGGAAGTTTGGAAGGGGTAGGCTGTTTATATTATTGTTCAGTTTTATGACTATTAATTCCAAGACTTGCTAGAGTTTTTGGAAAAATGATCTTTTTTTTTCTGCACTGGGGACTTGCAGCAGTCTTTAAACATTAAAGAACTGGATGGAACTTATGTGGGGTTACAACTGCCCTGTTCCTGTGGAACTCCTGAAGATTTTTGCCCTTTTGGCTGAAGCATTACCCACCTAGAGTGAGCTGGTCTTGGGTCTAGTCCTGAAGATCATTTTCCATCTATCTACCAAAGTTCCTAAGACTTTACATAAAGGGCATTCATTGATTCAGGTCCTCCACAGTATCAAGAGGCCTGCATCTTAAGCAGAGATCTTAAGGTAGTTAGTCTGACTGTAGAGAACCAGGTGACAGACAACATTGGATCATTCTCCTTTTAAGTTCCTTTAGTGGTAAGTGCAGAAGCCATCAAACACAGGGCATATAAACAACAAAAACATTGCTCAGTGGAATGAAAGCAGTCTGTGAGTAAGAAAGTAGTATCACCCAGTCACTCCAGGAACCTCGCTGCATGCCTAACCTACCCTGGTACCCTAGTTCACACATAAAACCATCACTTCCCAGTGTATTAATGTCATCTCCTTCTGGCAAACTGCTCACAGAAGCCCCTTTCCCAGCCCAAGCCACCTGCAGGTGCTCCCCCCTAACCCATGCTGGTACTTTGACATGCAGCCAGTAGACCAGGGAGATCTGGCCACCCTTGACTTTCATAAACATCTCCTTGCGGAACTATCCAGTTGATGCAGATGGCTTTCAAATTTGACTAGTCCATATGAAGTTTCAAAATTTCTTGTAGATGCTTTATGGTGTGTATTTTGAGGGGAGAGGGGCTGCTTGTCTGTGTGGTTTTGGGGGGGAGGCCATGTGTGTGGAGAAGCAAATTCAAGATTGCCAAGATATCACAGTATCACAGTATGTTAGAGATTGGAAGGGACCTCAAAAGATCATCTAGTCCAATCCCCCTGCCGGAGCAGGAACACCTAGATAAGGTTACACAGGACAGATATTTTTGTAACTCACTACCTGCCAAGTACTGGTAACTGTGAAGTGAAATTAAAATGATCCATGAATTTCATCTTTACTGAGGAAAACTTGTCATGTCCTTCAGGAGACATTAAATGCTTGTAGAATAACACCACTGACTCTTCAAGTGCTATAGCTCTTGACTACTTCCTTTGAGGATGCTTATTCATAGGTTAAAATGTAGAAGGCTACTACAGTTTGAACCACTGTGTGAACTCGTATGATTATTGTGAAAGAAGAATAAAGTTACAGGTTCCTGGATCAGAAGTGGTATGAAAGCTCTTGAGATGAAGACTTTCTAAAGGACAGATTAATGTGGGGAGGGAGGCTGCCATCAGAAGTTCAATTAAAGACTAAAGACAAGATCACAAGTTTCAGGAGTAATTGCTCTCAAAATTCAAAATTTGGGACACATTTTAACCTCTGTAATGTACCAGAAACTAAGAGGGTGAATTCTCTGTAGCTGCATTTGAGGACAATGTTGAATATGGGCAATGTTGCGTACCAGACAAAAACACCCGATCAAGATCAGTAGGTAAGACTGTACCTATCAGCACAGTAGCTGCCAAGTGGGCTGTAGAGGTAATGACCCAACGATGTTTTGGGGAGGCAATTCCATTCTTCTATGCATACGTATTTGTGAAACTTTGAACAGATGCTTTATGGTGTTCAATACCTTTTAACAGAGGAAGAGACAAGTATATGAATCAAACCTGATAAACAACGGCTTGCAACTTGAAGCAACGAGATCGGTGAGTGCTCTTCCCTGTGTGAACAGCCGTATCTGAGAGCAAAGCTGCCCCTATGGGAATAAGGAAACTGGATATATGAATTTACTATAACATTTCTCTCCTCAGGAGAAAAAAGCCCATCTTTTTCCATCAGTAGTGCCTCTGTTTTCTGATGTGAAATCTTTTAAACTTTGTGTTTGTTCTTTCCTCTGCAAAATAAAAGATGGGAAGCTGGGAGATTACACGGAATTGTGCTTATTGGGTGGGAGGTTGTTTTTGTTCAGCACTTGGAAGCACTGGCTGTACTCTGAGGTTCTCCCCCTATTCTGGCTGTGTAGGACATGCGGGAAGCCAGTGGGTGTGCGGGGCAGAATGCCCCTGCCAGAAGAGCAATGCAGGGCTCCTACACGTGACCATGCTCTTCGCAAGGCCTGGCACCACACAAGTGATTGAAACTATCATGCTTTGTGTATTTTTGGGCTGCGATGTTGCCTGCAGGCAGTTCAAGAGTGCTGTGATAATTCACAACAGCTGCTGGAGCTGCTGTCTCTTGCAGGAAGGGTTAGAGGCCCTCAAAGCCCCTTTCCTTCCTGCCCTGCAGGGTTGCAGTGCTCCATCTGGGTCTCCCCATCCCAGACAGTCATTTCCAGCCTAAATTTGTTGTTGTTTAGCAGTCTACAGCAAGCTCCAGAAAAGGTCATTTTGCCCCTTCCTCCTAAATTAGAATCTATGGTGTCATGGTATTTATTTGGTTTCTGCAGTGCAGACTCATACTGCACATCCAAGGATGCAGTCTTGCTCTTCGCATTCGTAAGTTAACCGCTTACTGGAAGTCTGACGTGGCCCTCTTGCTATACTTACATGTCACTATATTTATGTGTTGCAGTTTTCAGTAGTTCTGCCGTGGTCATGACTGAAAAACTTTCAAAACTGGAAGTTTCCCCAGGCTAGATCAGATATCTGACTGATGTTCCAGAGCCAGTGAGCTATGTAATGTAATTTAAAGTGGCTGAGACTCAGTAATGCAAGGCATCAATAGAAGTTCTGCAGGCGATGTGCAGACAGGAGATGAGGGGCTGTTGAAGTTCCCACTGCTTACTGGTGCTGGTTCGCGCACGCAGCTGGGACCAAAGTGTCCCATGCAGTCTTTCTCAGCAGTCTTAGTTGATTTCCCTTTCCCTCTCCCCATTCTCACTATGAAGCTGCAAACTGGGGTTGCCCAGGAGCATCCATGTGTGCCTAGACTGCTTCCATCAAGTCACATCACACTGGGGTTGTACTTAAGCTGCTGGGGAAACACTGACAGCTCCAAACCCACAGCTGCCATGCCAGGCTATATAAACCCATATGGAGAAAGCATTGCTACTCTTAAAGTGTTTTGTAAAATACTTTGCAGATATGTAAAAGATACATTAAAGGAGCATTTAGCTGTCTTTTTTAATATACCTTTATATGCCTCTATATGCCTGAGTGTTTCTACCTCGTGTCAGTGCTTTTACAGAAGTCAATGGTATATTTGATAAGACGGACAATGAATGCAACTTTAAGTTGGTCTTCTATGAACTGTAAAGAGAAAGAAAATTCTGGATAGCTTAAAAAGTGTTCTGAAAAGTCCTTTGCTTTCATTTTGTTGAACACGTATTTTTAATATTCTTTCATTCCAGGTTTTGGATGAAAAACTTATTTTTGTGAAAGTGCATGCACCTTGGGAAGTGCTGTGCACATATGCTGAGGTTCTGCACATCAAATTGCCCCTGCAGCCCAATGACCTGAAAACCCGAGACTCAGCTTTCAACTGGTTTAGCAGACTCTTCAGAGTGGATGAAAATATCATCAAACCTGAGCAAGAGTTTTTCACTGCCCCTTTTCAAAAGGAGCTTTTGTCCAACTTTTATGTCCAAGACAAAGACACGTTTTTCAATCCTGCAACTAGAAGCCGAATTGTAAGTCCATGGAGTGTTTGTAGAATTTGATCTTAAAAAGAAAAGATTTGTTTAATCAAATCCATGCAATTACCTTCATGAAAGCATCCTGAAAAATTGTAAACATTTGGGATGCAGTAGTCCTGTGTCATTTATGAGTCAGCCTGGACAATCCAGAATGAAAATGTACCTTACATTTATTCCATTTCTGTTCCACCTGAATTTAAAGGAGGAATTTGAATGGTTTATGTTCCCCATTCAATTGATTTTGTTAGCACTGCTTACCCTTTCCTAACCTGATTATGTGTTGAGACAGGTATACTGTGATCACTTTCAAGTTGCAAGAGACACAAAAATATTTATCAATTTCAGGTTCATTTTATCCTGTCCCGTGTGGAATATGCAACCAAAAATAATGTGAAAAAGTTTGGCATTAACAAATTACTGGACACTGGAATCTACAAAGCAGCATTTCCCCTTCATGATGTAAGTCCAGCGCTTGAAACAAAAATGTATTTTGAAATGGAGATCTGAACTATACCTGTGGGGTATATATAAAAAAACAGAAGCACTATTGATTGCTTTACTCCTTGACTGGTCATTATATCCACATAGTTGAGTAAGACAGAGTTTGGCTGAAGAGATTTTCTTTCAAAGCACTTTTGATTAAAAATGTAGCTCCATAACTGAAAAAAACCCAATATATTTCATTTAGGAGCTGTTAAACTTGTATTCCCTGGGAGATGTAGTTCAGTAAAGTGCCTGGCCTGAGTGATAATTCCCATGGTGCACAGTCTCATCAGTTCTAAATCGATTTTAACATTGTCTCTTTTTTTAGTACTGAGTTTTTCAGTATTAAAGTTCCTATCAAATATCAACATTGTTAATAAAGGTGTAGACTACAAATCTCATCTTGGGATGTGTGACAGTCTCACACAGCGAGAAACACTCCCGCAGTGCCCGAACAGTGCAACATACGTGCAGGGAGACTCAGGTTTCTACTGGCTCTGTCCAGGTAGTCCAGTACCTCACAGATGATGTCAGAGTCATGCAGAGAGAATCTTAAAAGGGTTGGATTTCACCTGGCAGTATTAAGAAATCCAGCTTTTGTGACTACACTCTGACATTTTAAAAAGTGCCACATCTCATTTCAAAAAGAAAATTATACTGAAAATCTTTGTGTATACAAAGGCTACCAATAGAACAGAAAAAGAAAATGAAGGGAAAAAGAAATCAGATTTCAGAGTATTTGCCTAAGGAAAAACTCCATCTTAAGCTGCAAATGGGATACAGCAAGCAAAGACTGAGGGCTGACTTTCTGCATTGTATCTATTATACACCCACACCCACACACTTGGAGTTCTGTGTCCAAGGAGTGTTCTGCTCTGAAGACACTGAGAACATGGGAGGTCAGGAATGGTAGCTGCTTCAGCTGTTTGGATTTGGCTTAAAATATTCAGGAGGCCTACACGGATTTCAAGGAAATCTTTAAGGCAGAATCAAGACAAATCATGTTTCTTGTAAATAACCCAAAGCTTTACAGGATAGAATTAATACCATTCATGACTATCCATTTTAAGGTTTCCTTTTAAAGATTAAAAACCTGCCTTGCAGGCTACTTCTATCATGGCATGGGGAATTTGGACTCAGTATGACTAGTAATTATTGACTGTCTTTTTATACAATTACAATTATATATCATGGCTCCTCTGAAAATCAAGATTAGACGATAGATTTCTGTCACTTGTCTTGTTGCATCAGAGATACAGAATGGAAAATTCCCTCAAATGAAACAGGCTTTATTGAAATAGATTTTCAAATAACCTAGTACAAACCACAAGTATTATCTCCATGTGAACTCTCTTTTAAAATTAAAACACAGACTAGAAGCCCTGGATTTATCCCTCAGACTTTCCAGCCTTCATTCCAGTACAGTATTATTTCGAAGCAAAGGATGTTAGCATGCTAAAGCTACTTAAAATCCATTTTAATTTAGTCCTGTTCTCTAATTAGAATGGATCCTTTTCTGTTTTCTATTCCTAAGTGCCAAGACACTGACATGTGCTTAGATTTAATTTAATGGTGAGTCTCTGTTATTTTCAGCTCACATACGTAAAGCGTTTCCTTTAACTTTTGGTGCCTTTCTGACCTTCTGTCCTGGAATCTGGTGCTTTTCCAGAGCCACCTTCCTGCTCCTTTTCCTGGCTTGCAGCAGATTAGACTAAAAGGCTATTCCAAGCTCTGGCTTCTTGGCCAGAGCCATAGGGTCTGCTGAGATGAGACTGATCTGTGCTGGTTAGATTAATGGTATGTTCTTCTCATGCTTTTTCTGTTTTGCAGTCTAGTTTTAGGCACCTGTCAACCGATCCCAACTGCCCAAGTGAACGATACCTTCTCTACAGAGAATGGGCTCATCCCAAAAACATTTTCAAACTGCAGCCCCTGGATTTCATCAGGTTGGTGTGATTGAGGCTGGAGTAATGAACTAGGAATTTACGTAGCAGGTCTGGTTTTGGGGATGTCAAAGAGACATAGGTCAATTCTGAGGGCAGATCCATGCACCTATATCAACTTATGCACAGGAGCATACTTTGAACTTGGTTTCATGATAAGCCACTTACTGAAAAAGCAGCCAGTTAAAATTTTTCTTTGCAAGGTATGCTTTTTCTCTCCTTTTCCTTTCCGCCCCCCATCCTCTTATAAAGGCATTGAAGTGGTGATAGGAATACCCAGCTGCCATACTGCAATCCCAAAGTTCAAACCGGAGGAATATGACAATATTAGTTGGTACAAAACATTTGAAACAGAAATGTGAATTTACTTGCAATTCAGGAAAAAAAACCCAAGACTTTCCCCTCCACAGGAAATACTACGGCGAGAAAATTGGAATCTACTTTGCTTGGCTGGGCTTTTATACTAACATGCTGATCATAGCTGCGATTGTAGGAGTTGGCTGTTTTCTGTATGGATGCCTGACAAAGGACAACTGCACATGGAGGTACTTGATGAGGCCTTTTTTAATATCCCATGCAATTTTGATCAGTCACTTCTAGAGGGGGACTGTGCAGGGTTTGCAAGATACTGCACAATAGAAGAGGCAAAATGAAAGGGTCTGAAAACAACAGTTCTGGATTTGAAAGTAAAGACACAAAATATAAGAAGAGTAATGGATGCCCATGGACCATTAGAGAGATAGACATCTCAGAGTTTGTTATTTCCTCATTTTATTTATATTTTGCACTAGGTTCACCACACCTAGTGTAGAAACACAAAGAAAGGAATGGCAATCAGAAGCCGTAACATCAATTTCACTGTGGTCATTCTGGAAAGAGGTATCCAAAGACCTTGGTAAAACCAGCAAAATTTCTTTCCTCTATTTTGAGGGAAGAGTAGAGAATGAGCAAGCACAGGGGGCCTCAGCTGCCTAGGATATATTAGGGGATGATGCATAGACCTCATCAGAATGTGACAAATTCAACCATGGTACAATGACCTTGAGGTCATCATTGTGATAAATCATCTACAGACCGTCACACTATATACACTCTTCTGGAATGGTGTTTATCTTTAGAAAACACATTGAAAGGCTGTTCCAGAGCTCCACTCCTCTGGCTAATGGAGTATAAACTCGTTTAGCCTTATGCCAGTATTATCATTTAGTTAAACAGTTCATCTCCCTTCCTGGTGTTTACTTTACTGATGTATTTATAGAAAGTAATTACATCACCTGTCAGCCTCCACCACACTAGGTTAGTACGTATTAGTTAGATGGCGACTCTTCTGCCATCTCATAAGAGACAAATCTGCCATTCTTTGAACTGCCCTCGCAGCCCCCTCTGCACGTTTTCCAATCTGATCCTTTGTAGAAGACCACAAGGACTAGGTAGCTATTTTGGTTCTGCAGTTATTCCGTGAGCTGGTAGGCAGTGTTCCTTTCCTTCTCCCCTCGGACCTGCTATGGTAGCACGTATGAGCATGCAAGTGTGAGTTTCCTGTTGAAGTGTGAGATCTTTGGAGAGTGGTTTTAGTTTTGATGGGACCAGTTTTGAGAATTACTACCATGTACGAGGGATGGAAATCATTTTCCTCTTATGTCATCCATTTTTGAGATGAGGAATAAGAATGGAAATGGGGATATATTGCCAGGCTGGGTGGGGAATTCCTGAGAGCAGATGACTGATAAATTATTTCTCAATTCCCTGAGATTATTGTGCTGTCCTTATGTGCAAGAAAAAGGACTAAAGAATTTAGTGTTGGTAAGTGACTGACTAGTTTTGTTTTTAGCCAAGAAGTATGTGATCCCAACATAGGAGGTAAAATCATAATGTGCCCTCAGTGTGATAAAGTATGTACCTACTGGAACCTCACCATCACTTGTGAATCATCCAAGGTAACTACATTTACACCTTATAAACACACTAATGAACTTTAGTTGCACTTTCTCTAGTACTGCATATAAAAAGAAGCTGTTATTCCACTAATGATGTCCTGCAGAATTGCTAGAAATATTCAAGTAGTTGTTCCTTTTGATAGAACGACTGGACTTGGGAAAGTAAAAACAACATCGATTTCTCCAATTTGATCTAAGATGAAACAAATTGTTGGTTTGGTTTTTTTCTTCATTTCACAAATATTTGATACAGGACTACAGTGGATTTTTAATTGAAACACTGTTTCATTTGGAGATACTTCTTCATTTTGGGGATGGGAAATTCAATTCCTAAAGTCCTGATTCAGTAGCTGTGGGTGAATTTTGCTAATGAAATTTTTTAAGCATGTTTTGACATTTCTAAATTCTGCCCCTTCCCTCCCCAAAGATGTTGTCTGGATCCGTGCCTTGAATTTAACCTGTGTTATCAAGGAGGAGATGGGAACAAGGAGGCGTTGTTGGCCATGATAGAAGTTCTAACACAGCCATGTCCTGTTAGCCATGGAGGAGGCTAACCTCACTAGAGGAACCTCACTTTCTTTCTCCATTACCTCATCTCACTAGGCTAATGTTAGCCTTTTGTTATTCCTTTCCACAGGTTCAGTCACTCTCAAAACTGCAATTTTTTTTGCTATTTGCAAAAAATATTTTGTCCAGCTTTAACGTGTTGCTTCAATGAATTTAAAGGGTAAAAGAAATAAGAACACAGGGAAAAGGCTATGATGGAAAGAAAAGGCAAATTGTGACCACAGAGGTATCTCATCACAATGTGTTTTCACTAACTGGCTTGATTTGTTGTCATCCTGCTCATGAAAACCAGATGTGTCCATTGCCTTTTCGTGGGTGTATTAAAAATACATAACTCTATACTTTGTTCCCAGACCAGAAGCACTGTTTTCCCTCTTCCTATGCAACAGATGGGAGGAAGACTGATAGCACACCATTTTACTATCCTCTTGCTGCATATTTGGCTTATATTTTTAATTCTGGGCTTTGCATTTAATTTCGTTAATTTACTGTGGAGTAGTGTACATTGACAGAAACTGAGGAAACGTAATCAATAAAGGTTGTTTATTAAGCTACATAAACGCTAAAAATTGACATGTTCAGTAGGCAGCTTCTGTCCTGGGTTAGTGTAGAAGAAAAAAAAATGGTTAATTATATTTTAAGCCTTTTTTCTTTTCCGTTTTTCCAGAAACTCTGTATATTTGATAGCTTTGGAACACTGGTGTTTGCAGTATTTATGGGAATATGGGGTAAGTCGATTTCAACAACTGTGGTTTGTCATCTAATTTTGGCCAAGCCTCCAGCATCAGCCAGGAAAACATAGATAAATTTGAAACAACTTTATGTTCTAGCACTCAGGAATTCAGCAGTAGGTAGTTCTATGTAGCAGAAGATACACGCATTCACAGGAACTCCCTTTTAGCATCATAAGGAAGCAAAGAATTGTAGGACTTAAAGTTGGTCTTTCAGTGTCTGTTTTGTTTCATTTGACTTGGAGGAAAGTCCAGGAGAAATTGTTAGAGCTGCCTCATGTTCATGCAGCAGGAGCCAGCCACATGCTTAAGTATATCTGGCAGAGGAGCTGTTATTTTTCTGAAGAGCTTTGGACCTGCCTGTGCCTATTAACAGCTGTGAGGCTGCACAAGGCAATTGGAAAATAGTCATTTATTACAGTTCCCAGGAAATTTGTTCCTCCTGTCTTTATTTAAGAAACTGACTGTAAGAAGTGTAACTAGTGGTTACAAAGCACTAGATGTGTCTTTTAGTGGAGAAAATGCATGTGAAACCAGGATGTTTCCCATGTGTTGCTGTATTCAAGGCATTAGGCAAGGTTCATTTTCCCAGAAATGATTTTATTTGTTCATATTAACAACTTTGTTAACTGGCCTTTATCGCACTGTTTTATCCAGAGATTACCAAAGTAAGTTCAGTGTTAGGTCTGTACACAGGATACTTAGAATACAATAACTCATGTAACATTTTAAACTTATATGTATGCTGACAAGAATACATCATTTACTTCTTTGCAAAACACATCTTATTTTTATTATCCTAAGATCCTAGAATCCTAGAATAGTTTGGGTTGGAAGGGACCTTGGAGGTCATCTACTTCCAACATCCCCTAAAGCGCTTCAAATAGTTACTGCTTTAAAGAAACGTAAGATGAAACATACAGTGTCAAAAGAAGACTTCTTTAAAATACATGCTAAAATCAAAATACCAGCAGGAAATACTCTATATAAAAGTAAATTAGAAGTTTGATACTAATGTAATCTTCTCCTGTCATATAAAGATTATTTCTGTTTCCTGTTTTGAAGAATGGTTTCAAAATTAATCACAAACTTAAGAAGCATGGTTATAGTGATGGCTGCAAGGTCTGTTGGTATTCTTGTCATGAGTTCACTATATAAAGAGGTGAATTGCATTACAAATCCAGTCAAATTCAGACATTTAGTCAAAATTGTACCGAATCCAAATGACCCATGGTCATGGTGCAATTCCAGCTGTAATTTCCACCTTCCTCTAATACTTTTGTAGACCTCCTGGTCCAAAACAATTAAAATATTAGTAGATCTTAACATATATTATTGCATAATTATCATCAACGCACTTTTAGCAATTTCTTCTTTTTTAGTGTATTCCCTTCAAAGGTCTTAAAGCACCATAAAACACCAGGGAATCTTGTCTCAGGCACTCACTCTCTATACCTTTTTGCTCTGGAACAGCACTTCTGCTACCTATCCCATGATGGTGTGACTAGATTGGCAGCTTCCACTTCACTTGCTGCCATCACTGATCCCATCCTTCAACAAGATCAGCTAAACAAACAAATGCTTTCCAGCGTAGGCATTTCTTTTCAGTCCTTGCTATCACATTTTCGGAGGCAGAATACCTGGGCCACACTGAGTGGCAGTGGTGAGGGACACGTGAAACGGGACACCACAAATTACCAGCATGAGGTGGAATTAGTGCTCGGATCTCCTGATTGTGAAATGTCATTTGTTTCCACTGTTAAAAAAGCCCACTGGTTGAGGACAAAAAAGGAAAATGTCAAATCCAGCAGCAGCTCCTTCCCTGTTCTGAAAGATGCAGCTTGGCTGCTGGCTGATTTTGGCTAGTAGAAGTTTTCTTTGCACTGGGGCTGAAGGCTGTCCCCATGTTATGTGTCCTTCTTCCACTGTTAGCAGAAAGGCTGTCACAGAAGGAGTCCCTGAACTTCTGGGGTCTCCAGCAGCAGCTGGATTTGCAGCTGGGACAAACCAGTATAGAATCATAGAATCATAGAATAGTTAGGGTTGGAAAGGACCTTAAGATCATCAAGTTCCAACCCCCCTGCCATGGGCAGGGACACCTTGCTCTAAACCATATCACCCAAGGCCTCGTCCAACCTAGCCTTGAACACTGCCAGGGATGAAGCATTCACAACCTCCCTGGACAACCCATTCCAGTGCCTCACCACCCTAACAGGAAAGAATTTCCTCCTTATATCCAATCTAAACTTCCCCTGTTTAAGTTTTAACCCATTACCCCTTGTCCTACCACTACAGTCCCTAATGAAGAGTCCCTCCCCAGCATCCCTCTATGCCCCCTTCAGATACTGGAAGGCTGCTATGAGGTCTCCATGCAGCCTTCTCTTCTCCAGGCTGAACAGCTCCAACTTTCTCAGCCGATCTTCATATGGGAGGTGCTCCAGTCCCCTGATCATCCTCGTGGCCCTCCTCTGGACTTGTTCCAACAGATCCATGTCCTTTTTATGTTGAAGACACCAGAACTGTACACAATACTCCAAGTGAATATATCTTCCTGTGGTTTGGGCTGGGCAGCAGTTAGAGGTTTACGGGAGACTAATCTTGCTCTGCAGGAGAAGGCAGATGTGATCTTATGGCCCATTGCTTGGAATGGCCTTTATGCTGCTAAGTACAAAGTAGCTGAGAAGTCCTTGTGAAAGAGGCCTGTGAATAATCTGGGGAGGAGAGTTTCCTGGGGTTCTGCCTGTGTGTAGATGCCAAGGTCATCTTACAGCCCAGCCCATGGAATTTTCTGGTTTTTAAATTCTTCAATTTGGGGCTTTTTGGGAATAAAAATATTTTGGAAATAACCTTTAATATTTGGAAATATAACTGCATGCCATTGATGTTTCATGATTCTGATGAAGTCCAAACACCACTTTTAGGGTTAATTACTCCCAGAGAATGAGCAATGCAGTGATGGGATACTAACTCCTCCTGGAGTTAGTGCTGCAGAGCCACACCACTGATCTGAGGATGCACTGTCTTCAGTAACAGAGCATCCAGGGGTACCGGGGATCGTGGTACTCACACCCATCGTCAGGTTCACCTCCCAGCCTTCTCAATGGGACTCTCATTGCCTCTGCTGCCAGACCTACCACATAATGTCTCAGGACGAGGTAATGAGTTTGACTGGATACATGTCTAGCCAGTACTCCTTAGGCATCTGTGTGCCTGGTCCCCCAGTGCTTCCAGTTGTAGGAGCACAGTCCAAGGGAACTGATGGCCCAGCCAGGAGAGTTTCTAAGCTTCATGCCTAGCAAAAAGAGCTGCGGCCTCATCATATTCGTGCTAGCAGAGAAGGAAGGACAGCTGTGTTTAAGCACCTTCACCTGAACCATCATTGGTTCTTGTTGCCTGCAAATGGATTATTTGTCCACGTAGAAACTGAAGATTCAATGAACACAAGTTTTTCCCTGTGGCAATTTTTGGTGTACTGAGCTTTTCTTTTCTAGATGTCCTGCACTCTCCAGTATTTTCTTTTCACCTCTCCAACCAATTTGCTTTCTTATGCATCATGTGAAAACTTTATCAAAAGGAGTCTATAATACAAAATCCAAAGTTATCATACTCTAGGCTTAGCCAGTAGCAAATAAATATGTATGCATTCTTTAGCATGTGCTTACAACATCATTTAGTTCAGGTTTCTCTTATTAAAGTACCTATGCATCCAAAGCAATAATTGCATGAAGGAGTAGATCCAGTTATTTTCACCGTTGCATTAGCCAGTAAGCCATGGGGTTTTATGCCATACCTGTGGAAAGTTGTACGGAAAACCAAGCCAAATGTTATAGCACAGGGGGTCAAGCAGTGTCCAGTACTCACATGGCATTGTTCCTTTTGTCTGTCTTCTGGATAGTTACTTTGTTTCTGGAGTTTTGGAAGCGACGGCAGGCTGAACTGGAGTATGAATGGGACACAGTTGAGTACTTAGAGCAAGAAGAACAAGTTCGCCCAGAATATGAAGCTCGGTGCACTCATGTAGTAATGAATGAAATCACACAGGTAAGAAAGATTCCCGTAACTGTTGATGGCTACTGCAACAGATATGTTGCTAGAGGACACTAGGAAAATGGCAAATCTGGACTGGAGGTGTATAAATCAGCAGTGTTTCAAGGAGCTGGCCTGGAAATAGTGAGTTTATAAAGTACAGATGCATGGAAGGGAATTTACACCTAGCTGTAGGCATCTTAAGGTAGGAGCTTGAGGAGCTTTGAGGAGCTTGCACTGCTTAGGTTCCTGTGTCATAAATAAACAGAAGCAAGCATCACCCCCAGCTTAGGAGACTAAGTCTACCTTATTAAATTCCCCAAGAAATGCTTCAGTGTCATTGCCAGAGGCCAAGATCATAGAGAATTTGCTATCTTTGCCTAAGACTGCATCAGGAAAAAAGGGTGAAGTAGAGGGAAAGATGTTACACTATATATTATTCCAAGACAGGGGGTTTTAATCTAAGATGTTTCTGTTTGAACCATCTATAAATAGGTATTGTTGCTAAGTGCATGTGGATGCAATTATGATTAATAACAGCAAACTCACAGGGACAAGGGTAATCCTCATTTTAATGAAATAGGATTCATATTTATGAGGATCTTAGTTCAGATCTCTATTTGTTATACATTTTGAGTAGCTTTAGCTTTTGTAGCTCACTTCAGCTCAGCTTCACTTTTTATTATTCTCTGTCAATATATCACTCTAGCATTTATCTGAGCATTTGCATTGCTTTCACATTCCATCCACGTCATACTAATGTTTACTAGAGGGCACTTGAAAAGTTCCAAAATTAACTGCCATAGTTGAAACTATTCTATATATATATTCTTTTAATATCTTGTACTACAAAAAAAAATTGTTCTGTTTAAAAGCTTATAATCCTTCAGTGTATAAAGTCATAGTTGGAAAGTCCTTTTCAGACAGTTCAAAGAGTGAAGAATATGCTAAAACATAATGATTTTGATCCTCAGAGATCCTATACTCAGTGAATTTTCACACCACTCTTTTGGGCAGACATTTCCTTGGGAAAGCTATTCCATTGTTCCTATGGGATAAATTGAGAACTGCAGAGATCAGGGACCAGAATTTTAGCACCTGCTAGTTTTAGCCAATGAGGTTTGAAAGGTAATGGTCTTAGATATTGGATCAGCGAAGGAGGATGTGTCTGTTCAAAAGGACTATGCGCCCTGTCATAGCTGAAGTCAATAAGAACTGAGGACACTCCGCCTCTATGGAAGTCATTTATATCTTAGAATGGGCAGCAAAAAAGAACCCCCACAAAAGATACCTGTAATCAGGCAAGACTTTTGAAATCATGAATAAATGTGAGTTTCCAGGATAACAAAGCAGGAAAGGAAACAAAACCAGGGACTTCCTTCCCTTTTTCTGTCATTATTGTAGTAAAGGGTTAGATTGAAGCATGCAAAAAAAAGTTAAAAAAAATAAAAAAGAAAGATTGAGTGCATCCTTGATCTGTTTCTTAATCTTTTACAGCAAGAAGAACACGTGCCATACACTGCCTGTGGGAAGTGCATGCGGATGACTTTCTGTACGAGTGCTGTCTTCTTCTGGGTAAAGTTCTTTTAATCAGTTCTTCTCTTTTAATTTAGACACCTCTCTAGCAAGTGTCTAAAAAAAAAACAGATCCTGAACCGAAAGAAAGGTAACAATGGACCAGATTCAGCTGGATTGCCATCTGATTCATTAACCAAGCCAAATAGGTATAGACCCACATGAAGAAGATAGCTGTAGTCACCAAACACTCATTAGCACAGAGTCAGTAGAAAATGCACTTCAAAATATCCTGCAGCTGTACCTTGTGAGTTACGCTTGCAAATGTGGTCCACTGATATTTCCTTCATTATTTTAAGACAAATGTTTCTGTTTTTGTGGGGGAGTACGGGAAAGACTTTGGTTTATATGCCCTCCTCCTTGCCAGTTTCTATCTTGCTTGTTCTAGCCATTTGCTTCAATATCATGTCTCACAGTCCTGGACCTCTTTCAGGTTTTTTGTTTCACTTCACAGAGCAAATCTGGGTGCTCTCTAATCTTCCAGAGCTCCTGCTTTAATTACAACTAAAACTTCAAAGCAGTCCAGTCACCCATGAAACAATATATAACATGGTGATCATGCCCAGAGAGGTCACTTTGAAAAACTCCGTGTTATAGCATGCTTCGTGTCCTCCTTGCCTGTAGCACAAACAGCAGCTGGAAAAGATCTTGTCCTAGATGACAAGAGACAGATAGGATATAGAGTGGTGGCTGGCAGCCAGGGGAGCCTCAGCGTTAACACGTCTGTAACACAAAGGAAAGAATACTGTTGGATTTAAATAGGCAGGACCTCAGATTGAGGGGAAGAGATTTAGCCTGGGTTTGTCATTTGTGCTACTTCACTCATTACATGCAGGGTAAGGGGAGGCAGGTGGATTCATAGCAGTTTGCAGAGACAGTGAAAAAAATATTCACAGCTCTGTGGACCTGAATCTGAATAGTAGCTAGAGAAGTAACAAGAAATAAAAGCAGGAAGAGAAGCAGAAAGAGAGGAGATGGCAAGCAAGATGGGGTGTGTGGATCATTATTACAACTCCTGCAGACCACACTACTTGCCCTAATATTTGTCTGTTCCTTTGGAGGTTCTGTAATCTGTAATATCATGCGGAAGGAAGGAAGGAACAGCCCCCTCTATAATCAGTGCAGACTTGGTAGTACATTTGCCATCCTATGCCAATTGCCCAATGTCAAAAGAGGGAAATTTCTTCCATCACATGCCTTGATGCGTAAGATTTGATTACACATCTCATTATCTTCGCTTACATCAGTACAAACCTTGTTATATAGACATAAACCAGAGCATCTATTTTCTTTGCTGCACATTGACTACAGTGCATAAAAAAAAGGCTTCTTCCATGGATTCTATATTTAGTGCTTTCTACCATATTTGATCATCCTCTGGCAATGGAATGACAGGCACATAGTTGGTTTTCTTTTGCCTACTGTAAAAAGTCGTTTCAAATTCCCTTTTTCCTAAAGCCAATGGTTTAACATTAACATCTTTCTTGCATTTCCTTGGCAGATTCTTTTGATTATTGCTTCAGTTATTGGAATCATTGTCTATAGGCTCTCGGTTTTCCTGGCATTTTCTGCAACGTTGTCACAGCACATTAGTGGAACAGACGCAATCCGCAAGTACCTGACTCCACAGACAGCCACTTCAGTAACTGCTTCACTCATCAGCTTTGTAGTCATTATGGTTCTCAACATTGTCTATGAAAAAGTGGCAATCCTGATTACTGACTTCGGTATGCTACTGCTGTTCCTCAGATAGAAACTTGGGGTAAAATAACAACAAAAATAGCATTTATATGTATAATAAGAATTCAGTAGATGAACACCTATGCCACATGTGTCAGGATCTTCCAATCCTGAAATCACACGATACCATCTAGAAATGTACAGATTTTCTCAATAACATAGGAATATGGTAATGAGCTCTTTGCCTGAAAGTCCTTGTATAGGCAGCATGAAAGATCAATTGTTTACAGTATTGTGCTTGTGAAACAGACAAAGCAAGGAAAATTACTGTAATAACCAAGCTTTATGAAAACAGATCAGTAACGCATAACACATTCAATTATATTAGCTTTTGTTTATGGGGAAAATAGCTATTTTCTTGTGAATAAATGAAATAAAGTCACTGTTCCAAAGCTAGACACCATTCCCATGTCATTAAATAGATAAACAGTCACAAATATTATTATTCTTTATATCCAGGCTATCAACATTAAAGTAGCTATGTGGAGTAGTGCAGCATTTTAATATAGTTTCATTTAATACTGTTTCATCAGTTCAGAATGTTACATTTGCATCTTTCCTGAGTGTGCTGGATTTGGGTGGGTTGTTTCCCTGAGTTATCAGCGTTTCTCCTTGTTCTTTTTCTCTACTGTCAGGGAACAAGTTCTTTCCTTATTACAACCCATATAGTTTTAGAATTAACATAATGGTTACAGTATACTTGGGGATTATGTACAATCTAATTTATAATGCTCTCAGTCATATTAAGGAATATAGGGCATATGCATCTCCAGCTGAGGCTCTAAGGCAGTTTGTAGGTTACTTGTAGGTTGGGTTTTGATTTTATTTTATTTTATCATTTTTAATTGCAGAGCTTCCAAGGACACAAACTGATTATGAAAACAGTCTGACCACAAAGATGTTCTTGTTTCAATTTGTCAACTACTATTCTTCATGCTTCTACATAGCCTTCTTTAAGGGCAAATTTGTAGGTCACCCTGGAAATCCAGTTTATTGGCTAGGAAAGTATCGCAATGAAGAGGTAAGAGTGTATGATAGTGTTTGTTTTTAAACAGCAGGAGCCATTAGTCCAGGCATTCTGCTGCAGTTAGGATTGTATAACATACTTGTACGTTATTTAACACGAGAGTTCAAAAAGAGACTGCCTCCTAAACCAATTGCCTCCTTCGTTATCTCTAACATTAAAAGAACGTGAAGGAGACCAGTTGGGCTGAGAAATATATTGCATGTACCCAGACAAACTCATTTTCCCATGGTTCAACAATCTGTGAACTGGCTCACAGAAAGAGAACATCAGCAGAAGCATTCCTGTTCTGCTGGATGACCCTCACCTGGTGACAACACAGTACAGATCTGCATGACTTCACTGGTATTTCACTCTTTCACTAGTGACCCATCAACCTGTCATATGTGACCATATGTGGACTAGAATTGGCTTTTGCATACCTTCCTGGAAAGGTTTGCCTAAATAGTCTTCTTGTATTGCTTTAAGAAATGTTACCATAATAAACCATGAATGCACTATTTCAAATGCTTCATTCATGCCTGAAAAGTTACTCAGCTTCATAAATGTCTCATGTCTCTCCCAACCTTCAGTGTGATCCAGGTGGATGTCTCCTTGAGCTCACAACTCAGCTTGCCATCATAGTAGGAGGTAAAGCAATCTGGAACAACATTCAAGAAGTGCTTCTTCCGTAAGTTCACACTATTAAGTAATCTGCTCTTTCATATTTGAAAGATAATGGTTTTGCTTGGTGTGTTCAGTCATTTGGTCACTAAATTTGATAGGTGTGTATTGTATTCTAAATGAATAAGCCTAGTCTTTTGGGGCCTTTTTAGACAGTATGTGTATTTTTGGTATAGTAGCTCTGAGTTCCTGTCTCTATCATTCTGGCTCATCAGAGATGCTTTCCTCCTTTGCAAGTCGGTCTCAGTGTGTTTCAGGTTTGGTATTTAAAACTGAGGTAGTAGAAGCTCTGAAAAGATTAAAGATTATTGTTTAATGTTGAGTGGAATTACACATTGTTATACATTGGGCTTTTAGAAGTCATGCATAAGTTACTAATTTAACTCATTTAGTTTTGCAGTTATATTTGACATTCATAGTGCCTATATGCTCTCTTTCAGCGAGGCAGGTCTCTGGAAGGTCATGTTTTAATGTAAACAGTAAGCAAAGTGCTAACCAGAAATGCCTTCCCTTTAATTTAGGTTAAGATGCTATCCAGGACTAATTTCCTTCTCCTAGAACTTATATTATGCTGATCAGTGGCTGTTAATGTTGCTTGGAGTAGGGAACTCCCAGTTTGCTCACACCCTCCTGAATGCCATAAACACCAGCCCACAGCATTCTATTCCCTTTGACTGTGGTTCTTCCAAACCCACAGACTGTGCTCCTTTGCTGCATAGTGACCCCACTTCAAAGTGTGCCGTAAAGACTGTTAGGGTTGAAGCTAAGGTGCTTTGCTGACGTACGGTTCCTCCAACCCCAATGCTTCATATATGCTGCTGCTTGCAAAATGGACCTTTAGACCCATCCTTCTTTTCAACATCTTTTGCCTCAGGAACAGTCCCTATACTGAGCATGCTTGCAGGTGTCAGCTGCAGCCACAGACAAGAGACTCTCCTTCTGTGTACAGGAAATAACTTTACCTGACGAGAAATTTTAATTCACTTCCTAGGGTAACATTTAGATGTTGAAATGCTGAGTATCACATCTAGATCTGATTCTTCTCATGCTGCATCTCTGCAAGTATAAAGAGAACTGTTTTGGGCTTTTCTCTGTTGATAGACATTTGCTCCCACCCCTTTTTTTTAGTATGGCTATTTGGCTGCTGAAAATAGCTACAGCCAGTTTATCAGTTTTCTTAAATTCTCATACAAGCCTTTCAGATGGGAAGATCAGACTCACCCCAATCCCTGGGAAGGTGAAGGAGCAGCTAGTCCTGGACACCATTTCCAGGCATATGAAGGACACGGAAGTCATTAGCAGTCAGAAGTCATGGGTGACCAACCTGCTAACTTTCTGTGATGAAATGACTGGCTCACTAGATGAAGGGAGAGCAGTGGATATTGTTTATATGGTCTTCAGTAAAGCCATTAGCACTTTCTTCCATAAAAGCCTCATAGAGAAGATAATGAAGTATGGACTGCATGAGCAGAGAGTGAGGTGGACTAAACACTGGCTGAATGGCCTGGCCCAGAAGGTGATCATCCGTGGCATGGAGTCTAGTTGGAGGATAGTCATTAGAGGTGTAATCCATGGATCACTATTGGGTCCTGCCCTGTTTAACATCTTCTTTAATGATCTGGATGAGGGGACGACAGAAAAGGACTGGGGGTCCTGGTGGGCACCAAACTGATCACAAGCCAGCAATGTGTCTTTATGGCAAAAAAGTTAATGGTATCTTCAGTGTTGCCAGCAGGTTGAGGGAAGTATACTCAGCACTGGGGAGCCCACACTTGGGGTGATGGGCTCAGTCCTGAGTCCCCCAGTACAGGAAAGACAGGGACACACTGAAGAAAGTCCAGCAAGGAGGCGCATGCTCACTGGAGCACCTACGAGTAGAGGCTGAGAGAGCTGGGACTGTTCAGCCTGGAGAAGAGAAGGCTCAGGGAGGTCCCGTCAGTGTGCACAAATGCCTGAAAGTAAAGAAGAGAGGGACAGACTAATCTCAGTGACCAATGCCCAGTGAAAGGACCAAAGGCAATGGGCACAAACTGAAAGACAGGAGGTTCCCTCTGAATATCAGAAAACACGTCTTAACTGTGAGGGGACTGAGCACTGCCACAGTTTGGCCAGGGAGGTTGTGGAGTCTCCATCACTGGTGATATTAAAAAGGCACCTTAACAAGGTCCTGGGCAACCAGCTCTGGGTGGCCCTGCCTGTGCAAGGAGGGGTTGGACCAGATGCCCTGCAGAAGACACTTTCAAGTTCAACCATTCTGTGACTCTGAGAATTTTGTGATCAGAAGGAATTCATCTGTCTAACCACAGGCCTACATTTAACTTGACTGTTTGATACCTTGAATTTCATATGGTCATTCACCTGCACGACGTATAAGCCATGATGATTCTGATATATTGCCCTTTTACATTTATTTATCGTTGTAAATAACTGCTTTCAGGATAAGGCAATGGAAGATTATACTCATGATTGAAGGGCTTTCAGTAATTCAAGAACAGAACTGAATCCACTGTTCAAAGCTATAACAGCACAAATGTCAATTTTTTCCATTTACTGAACTTTTTTAGGTTATTTTACCAATGTTAGTGGTCTTTTTCTCCCTGGCTGATAGTTGGGTGAAGAATCTAATCGGAAGATACTGTGCAGCTGCTAGATCAGAAAAAGTCATTCCACGCTGGGAACACGACTACCACCTGCAGCCCATTGGAAAACTTGGACTGTTTTATGAGTATCTTGAAATGGGTAAGTAGCAGTTTAGTTCAGATTCACTACCACTGCTGGGCACAAACATACTTCAAAGAGAATCTTCATACAAGCAATGCTTAATAAATGCATAGAATAGAATCATAGAATAGTTAAGGTTGGAAAGGACCTTAAGATCATCTGGTTCCAACTCCCCTGCCACGGGCAGGCAGAAATGCCTCATGCATAGGCAGAGGAAACATAAATGTTTTCCCAGATAAATTTTGGTGGGCCATTAAAGGTAGTTTTTCAAGTTTTTATTAAACAGCTAAGCCTTAACCCAATTTACAATTAGGAAACAACTCACCATTGTACAAGGAGGAATATTGCTGCTTATTTGCCCCATCCTCTGAGGAATGCATTCGGAAGGCAGATTACTGCCATGTTTGGGTGTTGTATGCAGAGCTGTGTGTCAGACTGCTCTGCCTGGGGTCTGCAGTCACCAGCACTTGTCACTGGTCTCTTGGGAGCTGGCAGATCTCTGGTTTGTTGCCACCATCTCCTCTGTGACAGCACTGCCAGCGTGTTTGTTGCAGAACCTGGACACCAATAAGATGATTGTTAGTTCAGGTTTTCCAGCATAGCACTGAGACAGTCATTAGATTTCCAGGTCTTTGTGATGAAGACATAAGAAAGAAATGGATGTTTAAATACCCAGAATAGTTCCTCTTGATGTGTTGTGACTCGTAACGTTTTCCTGTCCTCTTCACCTAGCAGGTTTTTCAGTATTGTTGTGCTTTTATATTGTCATACAGAAGATTCACTAGGAACCAAGCTACTCTTTATTGTATCTCTCTCTCCCACATGCATACATACATGCTCAAACTTGCTTATCTCCACTAAGTGAAAGCCTCACTGATGTATGTAACCTCTCCCTTTGACAGTTATACAGTTTGGCTTTGTCACTCTGTTTGTGGCATCGTTCCCCCTGGCTCCTCTTCTGGCCCTTATTAACAACATGTTGGAAATCCGGTTGGATGCATGGAAGCTGACAACCCAGTTCAGGCGCATGGTTCCACAGAAGGCGCAAGATATCGGTGCCTGGCAGCCTATCATGCAAGGGATAGCCATTCTGGCTGTGGTCACCAACGTAAGTACAGTACCAACAATTGCAAAAGGCAAAATGTCTTCATTGCAGGTGTTACATCCAAATGTGGGAATGCCACATGTGGCAATGTAGCTCTTAAATGACCCTAAATGAATTATGAGCATCAGTGTCTTAAGACTTCAGCCCCCGGGAAATAGTGACTTTCCAGATGTTTTGGAAACAAAATGTGAGTACTGTCTATAATATTATATCCAAAGAAAAGAAATTTTATTTAGAGTTGCTAAAGTCTTCAGAAAAATCTGTTACATATGAAGACTGCAGACCATCTTTCCTAAAACTGTAGTGCGTAGTGTGAAGATCTTTTTGGACAGCCTACTGCTAAATGCGTGAGGTTTGAAAAACAACAGGTTGCAGTTTAGCTAAGTTATAATTGATTGTTGTTTCTAATTGTTACAATTCTCATGGTCAATGCCTTCATATTTGAATTTGGCTTTAAGCAATTTTTCACTTAAAAACAGAAATTCAGCTTCTTTCTTGTATACTTAAATATACAATGTGGGTTCAAAATTGCAGCACTAACATTTTCAGGTCAGAATGAAGAGAATTTGAAAACTAATGTTTTTCAGTTGGATTTAAGATTAGTTTTAAAAGTTTCTTTAAAATATTTAGAATTTTATTTTTTATGTCTTAACAATGACATTCAGACCTTTCAAATTTCCCATACGTTGAATTTACCAAGATCTTATCCATGGGCTGCATTGTGGAGAGAAAAATAATCCATAGGATTTTACCACTGTGCATTATTTGATTGCTTATTCATAAGCAGTAGCTAATACATACTGTCTTTCAAAAGATTCTCACTGTCTTTCAAAAGATTCTCACTGCTGGCCATTCTAAAAGAGCAGTGACCACTGGTTACCCCTGCAGGGACAGTAACACCACAGACTGGCAATGGTTAATAGCCTTTTTCAACAAGATCACTGTTTTCTGTTAACAATGAGATTAGGGCTTCCTTCGGACACACCTAGATTGTCACTTCCTCCAGGTCCTCGTCCTTGCAGTAACAGTACCTTACTGTAGTCAGTGGGAACTTTTGGAGAAAGTAGTTGAGTCTGAAGACAAGCGTTCATCTTATCCCAAGTTTTCAAGGGAAGTTCACCCTGTTTGGAGAATGGTGGTCTTTGGGAAAGGAAGATGGAGCTGAGCACTGTACTGTAGATATTAACTCAATAGTTAGGGAACTTATTTCAAGTGAAAGAGTAATTCATATTTCAGTAAGGGCATGAACTTATATTCCTGTATCTCAGGCACCTTCTATGGTTGTTAGGTTCTTGGCTAGTCTTGTGTCTCAATCCCAAGGGTTCTGCTTTACGGAGGTCATATAGGGATAGGTATGTGCACCTCCTTTTTCCTACACCCAGATGAGTGTCCCTGCACATTCCTCTCCCTTCCCCTTCTTCGCTTTAAAAAGTTTGTTTTGCCCTGGAAAGATGAGGCTACGTTTGAAGAATGGACAGATGAGCTTCCATGACCTGACTGTCTATTGGGTTATCATCTTCTCAGTAGCTGGTTTTCATTATTCTGGGGGATTGGGGTGCTGCCATATAGAAACAGGAGTCCAGGGTGGATGTCAGTGATTAGGAAAATTTTCCGTCAGCCTCAGCTACCAGATGTACTTTCAGGTGTTTGAAGGTCTCCCCAAATAGTCATTATTCATGTGCAGAACTTTATTTTGCCCTGTAGCAATTCAAGAGGTATAGCAAACATAGGTAGGATGTAGAGAGGAGACTCAGGAGGGCATAAAGGCAGAGAATTAAGCACAGAGAAATGCCAGAAGAAAAAAACAGGACCTGAGGATGAAAAATTTACAAGAGAATCTGGGAGGCAGACAACAACCTGGAGCATATGCTCCATCAGTTTCACACTGCTCTGCAGCGGCAAGGCGAACATAAATCCAGCTGTTCCACAGACATGTGAACATCCAGGGCCTGGTAGTAAATCCAGTGTTAAAATTATATAAAATAACGTTGCAACTTTGGTAACACGTGTTCAGATCATCAGAAACGTCAGGTGGAACCAGGGGTTCTTCTGGGGCTCTTTTGGTTTACTGCTTGTGCAAAAACCATTGTTAATGATAACTGTCCTAGCAAACGATGCAAATCCCAGCAGATTCCCATGCAAATTCACAGATGCAGCACTGCTTCTTCTAGCATAGCTAGAAGTAGAGGCAATATGGGTGCATCAGTAACCTATTTTGAACTGTGCTGCTAGAAAGCTTACAAAATAAAAGGCAAAAAAAGTTCCTGGTGCCCTGAAAGAAAAACAAAGATGTTGTGCCATTGGATAACTTAGATGTCTTTCCTAGACAATCCAGTTGGATGTTGTAATACCACCATGAAATAAGAAGCTTCATATATATCTTAAAATTACTTTAACATATTGTTATGAGTACCTTAGACATTGCCTTTGTGATGCTCAGGATAATGTTAAAGTGGCTTTGGTGACCTCGTGGTGACTCAGACATGTCTACACTCAGACATGCCTAGGCTTCTGTCAGGAATGTACTCATGCCGTGCTTTCTGCAGACGAATGACCCAGCCGTAGGTGTTTATCACTACCCAGTCATGGCCCACCTGAGGCTAATCTGAGCTTTGCAACATTTTTCTCTCCAAATTCCTCCTTACGTGCTATACCCTCAAGGCATCACTAAAAACATGGAGTCCTCAATGTGCAAAAGTGTATTTACAGCTTGGTTTTACTCTCTGTCCTCCTTGGCAGGCGCTCAGCCCCAGTGTTCACATGACTCTTAACTGCAGGCATGCTTCTTTCAGAGTCATCCTTTTTGGAGGTGTCAGATGCTAGGTATAGCCAATGTCAGTGTGAATGCAGTGCATGTGCCACTGGCTTCAGTGGGCTGATGGCATGCAAGGGGCACAGCACCACTGACTGTCATGCTCAAAAGACCCTGCTGCAGCAGTTGTAAGGAGCTCAAAAAGATCTGTACTTCTTGCTGATGAAGTGAGGGCTATAAAGCAAATGCTAGAAGCAGTTTTCTTCTTTCAAGTATGTTTTTTTCTTGTTTGACATCTAGTATCTACTATAGTTCACCAGTCTTTACCATCCCTGCCTTGATTTTTCCTTCACAGAAACTGTTTCCTCTTTTCTATGTGACTTGTTACAGCTGATTAGAATTCAGGTAGTGTATCATTTTTTGCCCCATACATTACCTTTCCAACACCCGCTAGTACTGTGCAAGCAACTTTTGCACAAAACTATCGGTTTTGAGGCTTGCTGCTCAGTCACCGGACTTGGTATTGCATGATACCAAAGCATCTGTTGTTGATTTGAAGACTGATTTTAATTAGTTACGGTATAAATGGAAAACTGTGTGCAGTAACGCTTGGGAAGCAGAGAATGTGCTATTTGTTTGTAGCTCTCCAGTGCAATACTCTGAAATGCAGCCCATAATTCAGGAGGAAAAATTCTTTTCCTTTGAGAGGACGCTGTACGATTAGCTTTCATATTTCTGTCCTTGCAGCTCTCTGGAGCACATCTGGAGATCATTCTGGGAGAGGGAGGGGAGTGAGACAGGGTTCAGATTTAGGATGATGAGAGACCTAGGGCCCTGCAAGAAAAACCAGTAATAGCAAATATTAAGTTGAGTAAAAACCATATTTCAGCATCTTTCTAAATGATACAAAGCAGCAGCATCAAACCTCTTTGATCCAAAAAGAGAAGGGATTTTTTTTGCCTTACTGTTCATTTGCTACTAGTTCATTTATGGTCTGACTGGATGAGCTAATGAACAGAAAGAAATTATGTTTAAATAAAACTTTTTATGCTTGTAATTCAGTTAAAAACAGAGTAATTTAGGTGTGAGGTCGTCTCCCTGCAACTGCAAGACACAGTAATATATATTCCTCGTCAGCCAAAAACACCTCCTCTGCATGTAAATATAAACAACACGTAATTTTCACTTCACAGTGGCATGTAATGCTTAAAAACAGTTTTTGAGAGTTCATGCCAACTACATTTGATTTAAGCCAGAGTAAAGCACAGAAAAACCTCTTACCCTTGAAAATTTTAAATGAGTTTATTTTAGTCTTAGGACACCTCTCTTTTCTTTCTCATCATCCAAATTAACTTCTTCTCCACTGAACTGAGTTATAACGATATGCTGGAGAAGCAGATACAGAGCTTGGACAGAATCACAGTATGGTTGGTGTTGGAATGGACCTCTGAGGATCACCCAGTCCAACCCCTTGCCAAGGCATGGCCACCTAGAGCAGGTTACACAGGAATGTGTCCAGGTGGGTTCTGAATGCCTCCAGAGAAGGAGACTCCACAACCTCCCTGGGCAGCCTGTTCCAGTGCTCTGCCCCTCTCAATGTAAAGAAGAACATGAAGGTTTTCCTCATACTCAGGTGCAATTTCCTGTTCTCCAGGTTGTTCCTATTGCCCCTAACCCTGGGCATCACTGAAAAGAGTCTGGCCCCACCTCACTGTCCACTCATCTAATCCACACTTTTTGACCACTTTGATGACCATGGTCTCAAAGTATTGTTTCTGCAACTTTTATCTTAACAAGAGTTTAGCTTCTCAGGTACTGCAAAGTAAGCTAATTCAAAATGCAAGACATTAAGATAGCATTCATCATTTGGCAGTGGTGCTACCTGAGGTGGGGTGGATCTTGCACCTTTTTCCACTCCCTGCCCTTTCCTTTCCCCGTGCCTTCCCCTTGTTGTTGTCTCTTGTGTTGTGCTGGTACTAGCCACTTGACAGGCATTAACCAGCTCTTATGCTACTGTTATCACTTAGCTTGTTCCCTTCCTCTGTCTCATGCCTGTCCAATGGCTTTTTTCTGCACATTTTAGGCATCTCTACCTAAGCCTCCCCCCAGCCCCAATCCTACTATAACCCTGCTTCACACCTGTCTCTTCCACGTCTTTGCCCTGGTTCTTCCCATCCATGTTGTTAGATGGTTTTGACATTTTAATGGGCTAAAGGCTTCTCTTTCAGCCCTGGAGTGCAGCTTCACACTCCTCCCTAGGTGCTGGGCACCCAGATGTTGGTATGAGTTGGCTGGGCAGCCTCTTGCTAGGCACTCAGCTGCAGATCTTGCCAGTGGAAAGTCTTTCTCACAGGGAAACCTTTTGAATTTGCAGTAGCAGAGGAGGAGATTGGATTAAACATAGCTAACCTGTCCTCCAGAATAGGATGTTTTGGGAAGTTCATGAGTTTAGAAAAGGCTTCCCACAACAAACCCACGGATCCAATTTCCTACCCAGTTTGTGACCAGCAGGCTGAGTAGGACAGGGACTTTCCTGGGAACAAGATAAAAACAAATGGTCACGTCATATGTAAAACAGCACTGTGCAGCTGCCACTAAAGAAAAAATTAGCTTGGCATCAACGGCACTTTCCACATGTAGTGACATTGAAACTTATGAGGCAACAACTGCCAAGATGAATTGGGCTGGCTAGCACGTCAGAAAGAGTGGGATGTTACTAGGGTCAAAGGTGGATCAGCTATATATATAATTTATTTAATTCCTTCACTCCGACCTCAGGGTTCCTGGTGAAATTGATTTTGTATTACTGAAGGACTCTTCCTTTGTTTCCATGAGTTTCATCAGGAAGGATTTCTTTAAGCATCTCACAAGCACATCTGATAGCGAGCATGTTGGCTGGAGGTTACCTTAGAGTAGTTTAAGGTGAGTTTGGCTGCTGAACTCCACTGCATGATCGTGAGGAAAAATTGGATTGCAGTATAACTTTTCTAAGGCATCCAGCAGAGCTAGTATAATCTAAGAACTGTACAGAGTGCACATTCCAGAAACAGAGTGTTTTATGCCCATGAGTAACTGTGTGCTCATTTACGGAGGGAGCCACTAACTGGAAAAGTATGTATTTAATGTTAAGTCTTATTTCTTAAACACTGCTCTGCTTTTTTGTCTTCTTCTTTTCTGAAATGCAGGCTATGATCATTGCTTTTACGTCTGATATGATTCCTCGCCTGGTTTATTACTGGTCCTTTTCAGTCCCTCCTTATGGGAGTCACAGCAGTCACACTATGAAAGGGTATATAAACAGTACACTTTCTGTCTTCAATATATCAGACTTCAAGAATGCAAGCAAGCCATTTTCCCCGTGGTTTGTAAACCAAACATGCAGGCAAGTGTCAAATAACCATTCTTTTCCAATAACAAAAATAAATATAATTGTTTAATATCTAAATCATCTAGTTCTGTTAACGATATCTGGTGAGAAATGTTAAAACACAGTAAAAGCCAGCATATTCTGAATGGAAGAAATGACTGAAAGTATTCACCCATAAGTTTGCACTACTCAGAAAATTCTGATTTTTATTTTGGCTTTCTCATAACTGGTAGTCTTAAAAAAAACAAAAACGGCACTTTAAAAGTTTTCTAATGATTTCTTAATATAGTGCCAAAAAAATGACGTTTCAGCCAAATATAACTTATTCTGCAGATAGGATTTTACCCATTACTGTAGTTACGTGCAACTGTTCCTGGATGCGTTAAGCAGGGACATGTCTTGCTCCATCCTCTGGCCACAGTGTCTTACTGCAGTGATTCCTGAAAATGGCTCTGACATTCCTACATTGCTTTCAGATACCGGGATCTCCGCTACCCTCCTGGTCACCAGCACCAGTATGAGCATAACATATACTACTGGCATGTCATTGCAGCCAAGCTGGCATTCGTCATTGTTATGGAGGTAAGAGTATGAGATTTTGAGATTTACTTACTTACCTGAACTTCTCTTCCGTCCATGAAGAAAATCCTTCAAAGACATTCTGGCCCAGGCACGGCTGTCAGAGCTGGTGATAAGTGCTAACATGGGCAAGAGCTTGGGAGATGTAAATTAAGTGTAGCACCATTAGAAAAAGAGGTCTGTGAAGTCATTAGCTCAGCTGAGGATTGCCCCACATGTTTGCAGGTTCTTTCCTCAAGAGCTGTTACATTATTTTTAGCATCAGAAATAGAAGGGACAGTTACACCAAAAATATTTTCACATATACTTAGACATGTTTGTGCACAGCCTCATGAATGCATCTACATAACACATATTCACTAGCAGAGTGAAACTGATAAAGATGGTCAGTGCAAGAGGTGAGTCTCAAGGTGAGCCTCAAGGTGAGCATCAAAAAGTAATTGCTCATTCCTCTGGAGCTACATCTGGGTTTAAGAAAGATGGGAGTCAGTCCGAGATGAAGGGAGGGGAATATAGGGCCTGATCTAGGGACTACCAACATCATCAGAAACATGCAACTGGTTAGATCAGAATTCTTGCGGCAGAGAAAAGTCCATTGCCCAGAATCATTTGGACAAGCCTAAAACAATTAGAAAAGAAATTGTAACCAGTATTACCATGGAGGGGAGAAGCACTGGGTACCATGGTTCCCCCAAAGCAGGCAGAGAAGTCCTTGTTAAAATCAGGGTTAGAAAATCAGAAATTCTTGTTTATCAGGCAGTTATTCTATTCATTAGTCATATCTGCTTTTTAAGACACTGTTTCACTGTGATAGATACTGGTACAGAACCAGATTAGAGTCTTAAGATATAAAGTTATGTTATAATAATAATAATAATAATAATAATAATAATGTCTTGTTCAGCCTGACTGACGTTTTTTCATTTTCACCTTTCTCAGCATGTCATATACTTTGTGAAGTTCATTATTTCATACTTAATTCCGGATGTATCGCAAAAGACCAAGAGCCAGGTCAAACGAGAGAAGTACCTAACACAGAAACTCTTGCATGAGAGCGATCTCAAAATTGTGAAGAAAACCATGGGCAAAATAGCCGACAAAATTATCCAAGGAGTTGACAGCACTTTCCGACCTAAAGCTGACTAAGTACTTTTTTATATGGAATAACAGTATTTAGCCAACTAATACCTGTCCAGGTATTGCCAATAGCTAACCAAACACTTTGGATTAATTCCCTTTACTAAGCATTGTTTCTTGCAGCTGTTATCTCCTCATTTACCTCTTGCCCTTGGACAAAAGCAACCACTGCAACTCAGATAAGAGCTATCAATTTTTTAAACAGCTTTAGTAGGACATACATACTTTTTTAACATGTGAAGATAAAAATTATCTATCATATCACGACGATGAACATTAATTCTGAAATACATAGAGTGCTTTCCACTTTAGGCAAGAGCTATTAGATCTCTTCTTTTGACTTGAATAAAACCTTAAGAACACGAAGGATTTGCTGTAAGAATAACATCATGCCTTTTGAAAGAGTTGTGACTGCTTGCTTGCTAATGCAGACCCCAACTATAAAATGAAGAGAAAAAGACAAAACATGAAGGAAAAAGAAGGAAAATACAGCTCAAAATCATGTTGTTAAGCCATTGAAATTGACATATTAAGCACTGTTGTGTGCTACACTGAATTCGCTATGCATACTGAGACTTAAATGGATAACAAGATATTTCAATTAATCATGGACTTGGATCACAAGAAGCAGCAGGACTGTAAGCCCATCCTGTTCATCAATCTCTCTGTAAACAGGAGAATTGTCCTTAAAATCAATGCACACAAACTGACTTTACAGCACTCCAAGTGAGTACAAAACTCAGGCATTTTATCTTTCCTTAGTCAATGTACTTTCATTAGTTCACTTGCCCATTCTGCTCTCAATGACCACAGACTTGAAGGTATCCTTACCTGTAACAGTAATGGGTGTTAAACTCCTAACAGTAATGAGTGTTAAAAGTCTTTTCACGTAGTAAATCAATATTTGTGGAGGGCTGTCTTTTGTGTTTGTCCCACACTGTGCCTTTCCCTGAGATTTTGACACAGGAAGAATGTGCAGCTGGACTTGTTGGGATACAACATTGCATGATAAAGTGAATTCTGACAAGACCATGAGTCTATTGAAACTCAGGATTGGAATGAACCGTTTAATATGCCTTAACCATGTTATGAAGCTTTAAATAACTAGGAAGGAAGTTAGAGGTGTGGATGCAAGTGCTAGAGCCATCAATCATCTTCAAATTAGGCTGCAGATCTGCTTGGTTATATTGGCTCCAGTTGCAAACTGGGAGATAGGGAATTATAGATTAGGCATGTATGTAGAGCTCTGCTTTGTGTCTGCACCAGTGATATTCCAGGTTATCATTTGCTTTCTCGTTTAACAGCTTTAGTGGACCAATTTCGGAAATCCTGAAAGTCAGAATCTTGTTAAAAAAGCAAAACTGTGCCCGTACTCTGTAAACCAGGTGATTATTGTTGCATTTGTAATTTTGTACTCTTCTTAAATGTAATAGATATGCAGAAATTTTAGTCAGATTATTCATATAGCTTTTTATATGTTAAGAAGTTCATTTGCAGAAACTAAGTAGCATTTATAAGCATTTTTGTTCCATTAATAATGAGAAGGAATCATACATCTGAATTTTGTAGCAGAGCTTCCAGGTACTGACTGCTGTGTACCTCGAGCATATCCTTTGAATCAGAATAATTTAGGTTGGAAAAGAACTTTAAGATCATCAGTTCCAACCATTAACTATCACTGCCAAGTCCACCACTACACCATGTCCCTAGGCACCACATCCACAGGTCTTTTAAATACCTCCAAGAATGGTGACTCGGGCATTTCCCTGGGCAGCATGTTCCAGCGATTGACAACCCTTTCAGTGAAGAAATTTTTCTAATATCCAATCTAAACCTCCCGTTGTGCAATTTGAAGCTGTTTCCTCTTGTCCCATCACTTGTGACTTGGAAGAAGAGACCAACACCCACCTTAGCACAACTTCCCGTCACGTAGTTGTAGCCAAGGACAAGGTCTCCCCTGAGCATCTTTTTGTTCAGGCTGAAAAACCCCAATTCCTTCAGCTGCTCCTCATAAAACTTTTGCTCTAGGCCCTTCACCAGCTTCCTTGCTCTTCTTTGGACACTCCAGCACCTCAATAGCTCTCCTGTAGTGAGGGACCCAAAACTGAAGTACAGCCTCATCAGTGCTGAGTACAGGGGGAGAATCACTTCTCTAGTCCTGCTTCCCACTCTATTTCTGATACAAGCCAAGATGTTATTGACTTTCTTGGCCACCTGGGCACACTGCTGGCTCATGTTCAGCCGGCTGTTGCACAATACACTTCCCACCATCAACAGCATTTAACTCCATTCACCACCACTCTTTGGACCTTGCCATCCAGCAATATTTTACTCAGCAGAGTACACCCGTCCAAGCCATGAGCAGCCAGTTTCTCCAGGAGAATTCTGTGGGAAATGGTGTCAAAGTCTTTACTGAAATCTAGGTATGTGGGTCACCTTGTCACAGGAGATCATGTTAGTCAAGCAGGACCTGCCGTTCATACACCCATGCTGACTGGGCCTGATCACCTGGGTGTCTTGTACCTGCTGGGTGATAGCACTCAAGATGATCTGTCCCATAACCTCCTCCAGCACCAATGTCCCCAGATCCTCCGTTCAGCCCTGAAGACATCCGTATAGTCCTCCTGATCAGTCTGCACCTCCTTCCAAAAGTCATAAACTCCTTTTTGTCCTGAGTGCCAGCCAAAGCTCTCTGTTCAGCCAGGCCAGTCTTCATCCCTGCCAGCCCATCTCAGGACATGGGGATGGGCTGCTCCTGTGCCTTGAAGATTTCCTTCTTGCAGAATGTCCAGCCTTCCTGGACTCCTGTGCCCTTCAGGCCCCCTTCCAAGGGGCTCTATCAACCAGGCTCCTAAACAGGCCAAGGAAGTCTGGAAGACCTCTCGAAGTCTGAGGAACCTGAATCCCCTCCTTGCTTCTCTGGCAACATTTAAACCAGAAGAGGTAGCACATGAGGGCGTCCTTTCAGCAGCCATGATACACAAACTTTCACTCAGCAAGACTGTGCATGATTACGTGGAAGAATATGAGAGGAAAGCTTGGTTCAAAATCAGGGAAAGATGAAGGAAACTCACATAGGTTCCAGAGAACCACTTGCATTTCTGACACTGAAGGACTGAAGCTTACTTATTATAATGCCCAGAAAACTTTGTGTAGGTACCAGCTGAAGACGAAAAAGATGAAGGACAGAAAAATAAGATAGACCATCACAATAAAGGGCAGTCAACTAGAGCAGCAATGGGACCAGTGCTTCTTTGCACAGGGGACTCTACCCTTTACAATTCATTTTGATTTTGTCGAAATCATGACAAGTCTTTAATTCACCAAGAAATTGGGCAGATGGACAAACACTCAGAGGTTTCTAAACAAGACAGCATTTCTTGTCAAAATACTTCTTCTCAACACTGGTTTGACCTTTTCCCGATCACAGGAGGTTGGGGTTGGAAGGGACCTTGGAGGTCATCTGGTCCAGTCTCCCTGCTCAAGCAGGGCCATGTAGAGCAGGCTACCCAGATGTCCATATGGCTTCTGAATATCTATCTCCAAGGATGAAAACTTCATAGCTTCCCTGGACAACCTGCTCAAGTCATCTTCACAGTGAAAAAGTGTTTCTTCATATTCAGAGGGAACGTTCTGTGTTTCATTTTGTGCACATTGCCTCTGGTCCCGTCGCTGCACAATATACCAAACTTCAGTTTAAAACAAACCTCTGTCAAAAAAAGCCTGTTTCATAATAAACTTTTAGTGAAGTACTCGGGGCTTCCATGGGCAAACTTGACTTGGAGCTTTGATTTTTATCTTTGAGCTGGTCCTCCACCATTTGCACTTGTGTTCAGCTGAGATACCATTTTCTTACCCCCATCAGTGATCACAACCCCAGTGTGCCTTAAATACCATTCCACGTATTGCTGCTTTTCAGGTATTTGCCGGACCAGGCAAGGAAGCATCCTGTGATAAAGGGGGAAAAAATGCACGACTATTTCAAGCAGTTATTAGTCTTAAGAAAGCATTAATTGCCCTCTTTGAGAGGTAAAGAGAGTGGGAAACAAATGCATTGAGTGCCTTGCCTGGGGTCACACTGTGAGCCTAATTTTCAGGACTGCCTGGTCTTCCACTCATTATTCCTGTGGCCTTTCTCACATTCCCTTCTTTTACACCAGTTGGGGCATTTCCTAAAGGGGGAGTTAGCTCTCAGTGTTTATATTGAGAGTTTATATCCCTGCCTTTAAAATCGAGATTAAAAACATGCTACATCAGCAAAGTGTGATCTATGACTTGGGCTCCTCCAGTTGTAAAATTGTAATCAGTTTTGGATGTGTTTCCACGTTACCATTTTTGTTCAAAGCAAGAGTGTGCTTTTGAAACTAGTCTTCCACTTGTCCCACTTTCTGGGCAGCGCTTCCCATCACAGACTGGGCACGAGGCACGTGGGCTGAATTGCTCTTGGTTCAAATTGAACCAGAATGCAGGTTGTAGATATGCACTTAGTGGTCTCTGACAGGTACTTAGTCTGGAGAGCTGAAACCAGAGCTAGGCTGAAGAGAGCGGTGAGTACTGCATGGGCATCACCTAGTCAACATCAACTTTTTTGCTCCAGTGATTCTGAAGCACCACGCTCCCTGCTAATGTAGCTGTAACATTTAATTTCAGAAGACATTATATCAGGAATTCAGTTCAGTGTGCCATATGCACGGTGTTATCCACAGCGCAGTTCTGAATGAGAGAAAGAAGAGGAAAACCAACAGAGTGCCTAATAATTGCATTTTAATAGTTTGATTTAAGCTGTGCAATTTCTGTAGCCGCTACCTCCAAATGCTGAAACGTGCTCTGCTTGTAGGCAGGGAGCTCTGCAGAGGCATCAGAACAAAATGCTGGGGCTGGGGGGCAGTTGCCACCATATGAGTATCTGTAACTTCATTTTTATTAGGCCAGGTCACTTTAACAATATTGAAAGATCTGCTTGAAGGGAAAATTAACATTTGTTTTACACTATGAATCAATTTTACTCTTTTTTTTACACTTGACATGTAGGCCAGACTCTCACTTTGTACAGATGTGTTGACATCAGGGTGAATTTTGACCAGTGACCATTTGATTGCCTTAATACGCACCATAAACTGCAGACCATTGCCACTAATGTACATTCTGTGTATGTTGATAAAATTCAGAATGTAAAAAGGTATTTTTTGTATTTTTTCTAAGAATGTTTGCTGTTAGTTCCTCAATATTAAAATTTCTTTATATTTATTGTCATTAAATAAAGTCTATTTTAAAATAGCAATACATCTGATGTTGATTAGCATTGTTTTCTATGAACAATACTCCCAAATGCTACATTTAACTTATTACAATATCATCCCTGTCTAATTTCCATATTCCTCCTGTTTTTCAATCTTTTTCCATTAAACTGTTACTAGTACTGAAATTTATCTCCTGTTTTTTCTGCATCATGTAGATGGAAGTCATTCCTTTCAACACCAAGTCAATGACAAGGACCATTATGTTCTCATACAAATAAACAGTTTAGGTCTTTATACCCTTTTACTCCTGTCATGATAAACCCTGTGTTACGTTTCAGAGTCATCATTTATTTCTTCATCTGGATTGAGTCTGTGATGCTCCCACCTCCAGGCATTCCACACTGTTTCTCTCCCTGCCAGCCAGCCAGCCACCTGCTTCTGCTCTGACTCTTCCTCTACTACAAGGAAATCCTTTCCTAAGACTTATAGAACAGGAAGGTTAGAATGTAATTTTAAACAGAGACCTTCTTTGCACTGAGTGTGTTGGTTTTATTTCCCATAGGGATTTCCAAGGTCTGCTTTCAGTAGCTTTATGATAGCTGTGGAAGCAGAGGTACTACCACTTTCAACCTGTTTTCTGCTGACTAAGGGCGACGTGTCATACAGATGCCAGTACCAAAGCTGTTCTGCAGCTCTTGCATTGATTTGTCAGAGCGAGAACAAAAGAAACTTTGTGATGAAGCATAATAAGGGCTATTTTCCTGCAAGCAGGATATAGTATCATCATAGTCCAAATACAATCTAATCTGGTTATTCCAAGCAGTCCTAGCACAGAGTATGGAAGTGCACATGTGAACGTGTGTCCTTTACCCTTTTTCAAGCACACACACATGCACACACTGGTGGGTGTTGTGCCAGCTATAAGGAACATAACTCCCAGCTTGCCTCACACTGCAAGATGCTCTTTTCCAGTTAAGAAAAGAAAGTCTCCAATCCCGCTGTATCAAGATCTGTTATTATTCTCTATAAATATGTAGGCTAAACTGAAGAGAAAGAAAAAAGAAGAATACAGACCACCAAGAAAATCCCACTGCATTCCATGCTTCAGGAAGCACAGGCCAGGACACCAAAAAGCCACATCTGGCGTATAAAGAGAGAGTTTACGGGGAAAACCAAAAAGAAACTAACATTCTTGAACTGTGCAACTTGAGGGAAATTACAGCCAAACCCAAAGCATTAACACACAGTATCAGGGATTATTATTTTAATAGATATTCATGTAGCATCCATGTAAGCCTCTCGCATCATTTCTCAGCTTCTGGGTGGATGTCACACAACAAGTGGCTAAATAAGCTGTACTGGGAGCTGCAGACACCTGCAGCTATCACCTTACCTCCCCATTCTCTGGGATCCCTTTCGGTCTCCTGTTACAGCTGCATTGTGCTCATTCACGCAGTCACTTTCTAAACTGGTCTGGCTGCTCGCAGTGAGCAGAATCCCGTGTAAGCCTCTGTGGTAAGGACACAGGATCTGTGGCAGGATCTTCTCTTGCTCGAGCCTGGCAGGCTGGTGGAAATAGTGACCAATACCCATACCTGGTCATTCAGCCCTGAACACCCATCCCCTCCAGCAAGGGTTGATTATGGTTGGGGTTAGTCACGTGGGCTTTACAGAGCTGAGAGCATCCCAGGTAC